AACAGGGAGAGAAATGTACGAGTTTCTTCTTTAAGAAATGCAAGGCAGGAGACAACACACTTAGGGAATTGGTGAGTCCGGTCAGAGGCAGGCAGGCAACGACAGAGGGTATGATAGAGATAGCGGAGGAGTACTATGGGGAGTTGTATGGGAGGAAGGGAACGGATAAGGGAATAAGGGAGGCACTACTAGGGGAGCTAAGACATGAGGTTAAGAACCCAGAGGTACTGGGAGGGAGGATCCAGATGGAGGAAGTGGAGGAGGCAGTGAGGAGGCAGAATAAGAATAGGACGCCAGGACTGGATGGAATTCCAGCAGAATTCTATATTACATTCTGGGATTTAATGAAAGGGGACATGCTGCAGATGTATAGGGAAATGCTGGAGGGTGGACTGGTGCCAGAAGAAATGTGTGAGGGGCTCATCATACTGATGTATAAGAAGGGGGACCGGAGAGAGTTGGGAAACTGGCGTCCAGTTACGCTCCTGAACTCGGACTACAAGATTATGGCAAAAATAGCTGCGACGCGACTGGGGAAGGTGGTGGAGGGAGTAATCGAACCCGACCAGACGTGTGCGGTGCCAGGAAGAAGGATTTCGGACTCCCTGATTTTATTAAGGGAGGCAATAGAGGTAGAAGGAGAGAGGGGATGCCCCCTAGGGCTTCTTAGCCTGGATCTTGAGAAGGCTTTCGACCGCCTCTCGCACGAGTATATGTTCGCAGTGTTGGAAAAAATAGGAGTGAGGGGACCCTTGGTCGATTGGGTGAGGCGTCTTTACCAAGGGCTCAAGACCAGACTACTGATAAATGGGGAGCTCTCGGGGACAATTCCAGTAGAGTCAGGGGTGAGACAGGGGTGCCCGATGTCCGCGGTTCTATTTGTAATGTGTATGGAACCCCTTGCACAGGCAATAAGAAACAATGAGGAGATTAAGGGAGTGACCATCCCCGGGAATAAGGAACAGGGGAAGGTGGCGCTATATATGGATGACGTAGTCGTGCTCTGTAGGGACGTGGCATCAGTGTGGGGGGCCATGAAGGAGACAAACCGCTTCGGCCTGGCCTCCGGCTTGAAGGTGAATGCGAGGAAGAGCGAATTGATGGCCTTCGGGGACCCGAGACTATTTGAGGGTCGGCCGCCTGAGTTGGGGATAAAGACGGAGGAAGTCAAGGTCTTGGGAGTGTCCTTTTGCCGAGAAAGGTCGGCAGAACGAAACTGGGACGGGAGGATAAAGCAGGTAAAGGGACAGTTAGGCAAGTGGGCCGGGAGACGGCTCACGATGGAAGGGAGGATTCTGGTAGTGAGGGTGGTGGTTTTACCAACACTCAACTACCTCGCATATGTGTACCCGCCAGGTAGGAGGGAGGCAAGAATCCTGCAATCGATGTTGTTTAAATTCATTTGGGGAGGCGGGATGGATAGAGTGAAGAGAGTGGTAATGTGTAAACGTGTCGAGAACGGGGGGAAGGGTGCCCCAAATATTGCACGTGTGCTGTCCTCAATTTTTGTGTGCAACACTTTGAGGTTATTCTTTTCCGAAGAGCCCCGGGGGAAGGCCGCATGTTATTTAAGGTATCGCCTGATGTGGCTCCTGAGGGGGCTTGGGATGACCCAATTACCGGCGGGCACGCCCTTGGCCTGGCCACAAGGATGGCTGAATGCGGCGGTGGGTGACTACATAAAAGTGTACAATTTGAGTCAGAGAGGGGGACCGTGGAACTCCAAGGAGGTATTGGCCAAAGTAAACGAAGGGGAGGCCTGCGAGGGGGTGATGGGCGCGAAGAGGACTATGTACCGTCAAGTGTGGAGGAACACTTCATCAACGGCGCTCACAAAAGAACAGAGAGATCTGTCCTGGTTGGCGGTGTGGGATAGATTGGAGACGAGGGGCTTCATGTTTTCTCGCCGAATGGCACGTTCGCCCAAATGCCCGAGGGGCTGCAACACAGATGAGGACGCGGTGCACGTCATGGTGAAGTGTCCCTTCGCACAGGAGGTGTGGAGACTGAGCAGTCCGCTGTTGTCCTGGTTTTACCCGTCGCAGGTGATAAGTCGGGACATTATGTGGGGAGTCTTAAGGGAGGTGCGGGGAGATGACAGAGATCGAACGTGGGCCATAATAGGCGCGACAAAGGAGGCCTTGTGGGGAGCTCGCAGAAAAGAGCTGGATGGGTCCCCTATATCACCGTTGGAGGTGTGCTACTGGGCAAGGAGGTTGCTAGAAAGGGTGATGGAAGTAGACCGGGTTAGGCTGGGATACAAGGCCGCAGGTGTGAAGTGGAAGTGGCCCCTACCCGGGGTGGGGTAGCAAGGGGACCGGCGGGTATAGGGAAGGGATAGTGAAGGATGGCCATGCACATTTTAGCCGGCCTGCTAAGTCGTGTGGGCGAGGAATGTACGTGTTCGATCGGGGGAAGGCGATGTGATGGAGCAGCGCATGGGTGAATGGTGGTGATGAATGTAAATAAAGGGAACGGGGCGGTGTGCGTTATGGCGGCGAGCTTTTTTGTTGCATTGTATGTGGGTGGAGCCCGCGGATGTGACGGAGACTCGAAGGGGCCAACCGGGGCGCCTGGGAAGGAGTGGTTTTCAGTACTCTCTTTGGTTTTCCTTGTACCCGCTGAGAAGTTAATAAAAACCTTTAAATCGCAATTACCAGCGAAACGTCGTGCTCAAATTGTAAATGTTGTGGCTTCAACACACCGGTGGGCTAAAGCAGTGAACTATTTGTCTTTTGTCAACGTGACACATTTTTACTGATTGGCCGTGTCGGGTGGTGGAGGGTTACGACACATTTATAAATAACGCGATCTAAACCCAAAAACGTTGATTATGAATAACATTGGTCGCGAAAGCCTACGTGTTAAAATGTAGTGGTATAAATCTAGGCAAATGACACAGATGTGATTCTGTTAAATGTGCAGTGGTTTAAATGTACATCGTGGGTATTGACAGAATCCCAACGTGGTGTGAATGTATGGAACCAGCGGTGATGTGAAAGTGTACAACATTCTTTTTTAGCTGTGAATCTCTCGACTAGTCGCGTGAACCCATATGCAGGAGTGCAATAGTGTGGTTGGATCTCCAGTGATGTGAATCTATGGTGGTGTTAATCTGTATGATCTCTAGTGGTGTAAATTCAAATAAATGTCTGGTGGTGTGCATCTATTTAATCCCGATGGTATGAATCCATTCTGCAGTTAGGTAAATATAATTTGCAATCTGGTAGACGTGAGCCATTTCCTGTGTTTTGCACTGTTAGAGTGTCTTGATTCATCTTGATTAGGGGGCGTCCATAAATGACGTCACGCGATTTTGGACGATTTTTGACCCCCCCCTCGTCACACGGCGTCACAAAGTCAGACCCCCATCAAATATGACGTCACAAAGCTCTGCCGCCCCCCCCCCCCCTCAAAACCATATTTCCATTTTGAAAATAAAACATGCTTCAAATCGCTTTAAACTATTGTCATTGCAGTGCGTATATAATGTGGCGCTGCATTCTGATGTTGTAGGAGTGTTGTTATAACAATTAGTGTTGTTATAACAATTCTATATTTATTTAAAGTTGCGAATTTTGATGTGACGTCACATTTCTCAAACCTCCCCCCCCTCGTCACACATCGTCACAAATGTCTGACCCCCCCCCCCCCAGGTGCGTGACGTCATTTATGGACGACCCCTTATTAATGAGGAGGGGTGGGGGGAGATGTTCATTTGGAGGATGTCACATGCTCATGGATATTAATGAGGGGGCTGGTCGATGTGGAGTGACGTCACGAGCGTTAAGGACAGACATTCCTGGGTGATTACAGTCGGTAATTAGAGCTCATTTCTCCATGTTGTAGTTTGATAACATTCGACATTAGCAGCCTACAAATAGATGCTAATTTTGTTTACTAATGAAACGCGAAGGAACTGGCTTCCGTTCCATTCCAATAATTCCAGAACAAGATTTGTATCTTCTTGGTTCTTTCGGTAAAGTCACGTAGAAGGGAAGTAATAAAATAATACAAATAAAACATAATAAAAAAATATTTGTATTGTTATTACTTCCCTTCGACGTGACTTTACCGAAAGAACCAAGAAGATGAATCCCTGCAGTCACGAAAGCTTTAAATCGAAATTTAATATTTGTATGTTTCTTATGAACGAGGAGCATTCGAGAACAAACGTCAAAAGTGACTGGAATGTAATGGAACGGAGCGGAATTTGATTTCTTCCTCGTGGAACGTGAATTAAACGTAGTCTGTGTCCCTGTTCTAACTCCCACACACAAATCGTCCCGTGCTCGCACCTCGAACCCAGAATCTCAGGTGCTGCGAACTCAATAGTCTTCGACGTGGCCGTTAGGAACCCTTAGCCACACAGTCACTGTGCTCAAGCCTTGAATTCATAATCACAGACATGATGGTGCAGTGTCTCACACACGGTCATGATGGACTTGCGAATCCAGTGGTTCTCAACCCCTTTTGGTATGGCAGCACAAGTGTGTACCTATGTTCCACTTATTTCGCACCGTACGTAGCCAACCGTGTTTAATAGGTGGTGCGGGGGCATGACAACAGACTTCACACAAAAAGCAGTTCTATTCAAAGATACCGCTTGAACTCCACCACCCCAAAGACACACACAACTAACTCTTCAGCCAACGCGGTGTCGCGGCAAGGCATTCTTGTCGTGTTGCGTGTCAGTTGTGTTCTCTTGCACGTCTCCCGAGGGAGGACATTCAAACGTTGTCCTGCACGGTATCCATGCCGCCCGCCACCGCCGCAGATCCCTTTAGAACACAGGCTTATACCCCCCCCCGCCCCGCCACCCCTCGACTGGTTGATAACCCCTAAGACTAATCCAAATCTATGTGTCACGCAGAGAGAGAGAGAGCTCTTGGACTCTGTAAAGACTCTGCGCTGTTGGCTACAGTGAGAGATAATCACCAGTTACAACACCATCGTGGGGTGGGTGGGTGTGGGTGGGTGGGGGGGTTCCAAGTCCAATATCTACAGCGACGTCGCTCGGACGCAGAACCGGAGGCCGACTTCGGGGTGGGGGGCCAGGGAGCGTGTTCGGAAGTGTACGCCGTCGATATCTGAAGCGGAGGGTCGCACGTGCACAGGTGAGCCAAACGTCGTGGGTTCAAGAGAGAGAGAGATTGGGCGTTTAATTTGCCACGTTCTGCCGGCTGTTGTGTGCTTGTCAGAGGCTTCGCAGTGGCTATGTCAGAGGGCACTGAACCGGCATTACTGAGGTTGTGTGTATTATATATGGTGAGGTCCGTATTTGCTTGTTACATCACAGCGCTCTCGACAGATGGGCGACGGATTTTGGGAGGCCTTCATCCAGCAGTGGATTGGCTATGGTTGATAACGAGGTTCAATTCCTGCGTTTGGGTAATATGTCTCATCGTGGGTGGGGGTTCGCAATGACCGTGACAGGTTCATTATAGCCATGCCATTCATGGAAGCTGTGCCAGCACTGTTGATATGTGAGGGTTCAAAGCCCTCGGTTTGAATGTCTCTCAGAAGGTTCGTAATGGTGTTGTCGGAAACAGTGAACCAGTACATACCATAGAAAGCTTGGGTTCAAGGTTTGTGCCCTGGGTCAGGGTGCCTCTTACGGGATTACGGGTTAAGAATGGTGGCTTTTTGAGTTTCATAACGGCCGTGCCATAGTGAACCAACGCCACAGAGATAATGACTGTCTTGTTGTTGATACGGCCTTTATCCAGACAAGACCCATCAAGATCCATTATACCACGTGTTGCAGATCTTGAACAGTACACGTACTTGTAACTGTTTATTATGGACTATCGTTACGTCTTGTGATTCGTGTCGTTTAACCAGGTGACACCTCATTGCGTTGAATTTCCTTGTAATTGATGTTTTTCTTTTATCAGACGAGCCGTCCTGTTGTGAATGCCATCCCTTATTTATCCAGGTTGAGCACCCATTCAGTCATCTCTCGCAATTGAAATACAGTACTTCATTTCACCAGGTGAGACTCTATTGAGATATATTTTCTTTGTGGTTCACGTTCTTAAACCAGTCGCACCCTGATGGCCATTTTATCGTGACTGGCAGCATTTATTTAGGGCGCCACGATGGCGAGATGTTAACTACCTTGCCTGGTATACAGGAGGTCATGGGTTCGATGCCGACCCTGACGCCTGTGTATTTGGAGTCTGCGTGTTCTCCCCGTGGTCGCGTGGATTTTTCTCCGGGTCCTCTGGTTTTTCCCTCCACATTTAGCCACATGCGTTTAGATTACTTAGCTGCTGCTATACATTTTCACATGACAGACCACTTCGTTGACCTATCATTTGTGTGGCCAGGTCGCTTCTGAAAAAATCTATTGAGATCAGTGGGCCTTACCTGGTAAAATAAAAAATAGTTACTCGTTATTTAACCAAATGAGAGACCACTGTGGTTCATTCTCTCCTTCGGTTAGCATAATTTAACCAAGTAATCCTGATTACGATAACAGTAATTATTTGATGATTGCCATTTGTTTTTAACCAGGGGAAGGACAATATTAGATCGTGAATTAGTGAGTGTAACGGCCAACCTCTAGATTCGCTCATTTGTTCATTAATCCTCATGAATATATGGCCATTCCTCACAGCTGTTGGGAATTAGGGTCAGCAACGTCACATATAAGCATGTCCTCTTAGGAAAAGCCACTTATATTATTAACAACATGTGCAGAATTAATGCCCTGGACCCATAGAGCCAAACTGGGACTCCCTTACGCTCCATTGCTTTGAACTGAGAATCAAAGCCAGAATAAGGGTCCTTTATGACCATATAATCAGACTAATGCCCCCTTCGGGTTCAGTGTTTATGGCTTATATAAACAAATTGTAATATTGTTGAATAAATGTAATCTACTCTAGTAGAACTGTCTTGTTGTCAGATAATTTTATCTAGAACACATTATGTTTCAACCAGTATAAGGCTTCTTCTAAATAGGGTTCAGTGTTAATGAGGGAGGCTCACAGAACCAGATAATGTTCCCCGACGAGTTCATTGTTATTATGCAAGGTTCATAAATCCAGATCAAAGCATCCTTAGCTCTCAGGGTTAATGGCTCATAATGCCAACCTTTGGCTCACTTGGGGTTCAGCGTTCACGGCACAAATCATTACGTAAATGATTTGAAAAAACTACAACAGAAAAATTGTGCAGACTCGAAAGCCACAAGTAAGTTATTGTGTATTTTACTCATTTGTGCACGTGTTATGTGAAAGTTAATGGCTCATAAAGCCAGACTAACGCTCCCTAAGGGTTCATAGAGCCAGACTAAGGCTCATGTAATGTGTCCCGTTTGTCACTGTAATTCTCCGGTCCCCCACCGCCCTCCCCAGGATGGCTTTTTGGACTCAGCTGCGTCTGTTGCTGTGGAAGAATTTTACTTTGAGAAAAAGACAGAAGGTGCAATATCAAACACATGCACACTCACAAGACACACACGCACATGCGTGCAAATACACGCATACGCAATTGTAAATAGTACATGCATTTTGCTTTGGAGTGTTCCACACAAACGCGAGGGCAGCTGTTAGCGGTGGGCCCCCATGCACTTTAATCACAGGTGTTATTAGAAGCCGAGATTGCAGAGATAGTTTAGAACTTTGTGTCTCGGCAGTAATGTAATGTACATATTAGAGTCGGCTTAGTGACATGTATTTTGTTTAACACGTAGGCTTTCTCGACCAATATCCATAATACAGGTTTTTTGGGTTTTATCACGTAAATATAAATGTGTTGTTAAACCCGCCACCACCCAACACAGCCAATTAGTAAGGTGGTGGCGGGTTTAACGACACATTTATATTTACACGGTCTAACCCAAAAAAAACAAGTATTATGGATGATGTAATTTTTTTACGACGTGAGAACTTAAGACACCAGGATAAGTTTCATTTGCAAGTTTCCTGGAGCATTAAGCTGTCAGTAGAGAGCAATGATTGCTTTGTTGTATCATCCCAGTTGTGTAATTTGTGGGTAATGTTCACATTTTTGGACACATTTGAAACACTGACGTCAGCACACAAATTGGCTCACTCTTGCGAATTACGTCACAGCATCTTTAACGTCCGCTGCGAAGCAGACGGCTCGAGGTATCGTTTCGGTTGTTACACCCGCAGTATTAATCAGGACGGCCACTAGATTTGCACTGTGAACCTCTGCAACAAGTTTTGGATGAACTCGTGAAGCAAAATAGAAAAGGGGACATGTGAACTGCAGATTTAAGATATGGGTATATGAGGCAGGGCTAGGCAACTTGCTGTTCCGGAGCCGCATGCAGCTTCGAATGTAGATGCAGAGCATTAACTACAATTTCACAATCAGGTGGTCAAGCCAGATAACCTTATCAGGAGTAGCGGGAGTTGTAATATCGCTGTGATGTCTCCTTCGTATTGTAGATATGTTGTACTGACTGTTCTGGATGACCATAGTCGCACACTGAAGGCTTTTTAATGTCCCATTTGTGCATCAGGTATCCGCATCTGCCATGGTTTGTGTGGATGTGATTTGACGTGTTATTGATAAACGTGTTGAGTTTTGTTCTTCTTATTTGTGGGTGTGCGTCACTGCCAACACAGCAGCAGCATCACCAAATAATTCCCTGGTAAAGTGAACACGCAGCCTTCGGTCGGTGCCTGGGTAAGAAGGCTCCTCCATTGCCTTCTCCCCTATTCCCTCTCACCCTCCACAAAAAAAGGGGCAGTGGATAGAGGATGTCGCGTTGTTGCCGTTGAATTGTCTGCGTTAATTTGTCGAATGGAATGTCAAGGAGACCGTTCAATGACTGTCGGCGCCCCTGTTGTCTCCCCAGGTCCGCCTGCTGCTGGAACTAACATGGCCGCTCTTTCTCTTCGTCATCCTCGTGTTGGTGCGGAATACCCAGCTGCCCTACATGCAGCACCAGTGTGAGTGCCCCCCTCCCCCCACCCTAGGTCTGCTCAGAATTAAACTTTCAACTATTTTTTACTTCACCAGGTAAGGCCCACTGAGCTCTGTAGCTCTTTTTCAGAAGCGACCTGGCCATCACAAATGATCATTCAATGAAGTGGCTCATCGCGTGGAAATTGACGGCAGCCAATAACCCTGAATGCATGTTGATCATAAATGTGGAAGGAAAAACCGGAGGACCCGGAGGAAAATCCACGCGACTACGGGGAGAAATACATGCAATCTCCAAATATATAACAGGCGTCAGGGTCTAGATCAAACCCATGACTTCCTGGATACCAGGGGAGGGAGTTAACATTTCCCTTGTATCGAGAGCCGTCCCTAGGGTATGGCGAATCGGGGCGACTGCCCCAGGCTCCGCGCTTTTGGGGGGCCCTGCGCTTCGACGACACGGTGTCAGATGTGATACTTCTGGTTTAGTTTGAAGGCGTCGGAGGGGACCCACACGGTGTGTTTTGCCCCGGGTCCTGCACCGTCCTATGGACATTTTACAAACTAATTATTAATTGTGTTGCTATGACAGACATACCCTATTGAAAACTGGCAATATTAGCCCAAAGGGTTGGCCAAAATTTGGAGACCCAAACCAGAGCAGAGAAGACAACATTCCCCTATTTACAAATATGCTAATTAATGTTGTTCCGACAGCTTCCATACTGCTAATTCAATTATTAACATATAAAAAAAAACGCACGATTGAAACCATTGCACCAGTAGCTCTCAACCTTTTTACCATGGTAGCCCTCCAATCAATACCACGGGTTCCACTCCCCCCCCCATTCCAAATTGCTAATAGCGCAATACACAGAGAGAGATCACATATCCACGCCAGCTCTTATCAACGCGATGTGAGCAATGCTTGCGTTTGATGTCACGTCATATTCGTGTGTTTTGTTGCTGCAAACGTGGCGCTGACGTTATCCATTCACAATCATAATATCTCCTGCACGGTTTCTATGCAACAGCTTGCAGCCCTCCCCCACCCCCTTAATTCTGCCTCTGTCGCCTTTCAGGCTACTTCCCCAACAAGCCACTGCCGTCGGCAGGCGCCCTGCCCTGGCTCCAGGGGGTCCTGTGCAACGCCAACAACCCCTGCTTCTCTCAGCCCACGCCCGGAGAGACCCCCGGGCAACTAAACAACTTCGGGGGCTCCATGTGAGATACAGCGGGATAAGTTGCATAAAGACACAATCAAGGGATGTAAGATAGGGAGACAACCAGAGAGACGTAGAACACTATCATACAAAGGCCGAGTGCGGAGGCTGCTACCATGTTCTTCACGAGACATTTGAAGGTTTCTAGATTTGAAGCTTTCGTGACTGCAATGATTCATACTCTTAGTTTTTTCGGTAAAGTCACGTAGGTAAAAAATGAAATTTAAATTAATAATTGTAGTATTTTATTTATTTATTAATTTTAATTAATTTTTTACCTACGTGACTTTATCGAAAAAACTAAGAGTATTTAAAGGTTTGTCCCGCTCTGCAGATTGTTAATGATTTTCCGCCAATTTAAGGGGCATGTCAGTCAAGAGATGTCTTGTGATTTGTTTCTGCCTTAAAGACATTTCTATCTTCCCATTTTGCCAATTTTATTGCAAATTCAGCTTCATGTAATGAGATGAAGCAATGTCTATTTGTAACTCTCGCAGAGCGGCACTTCATCCCCTGGTTAAGAGAATACCCTGCAAAAACATTTAACTTCTTCTGAGGTCCCTTCACAATTGCATTTTCCTCATGCCACGCTTCTCCAGAGACAAAAAACAACGTCTTAACTCTGCGAGTTGGAAACTAAGCCGTCGTGGGATTCTAGTGCAGTAATTTGTGACCATGCTCAATCAACTCACCAGACTTGAGAATCCACTGTGATCACGAGCAACAGAAAAAACGTAGAGCCTTAACTCAGCGGCGTCGGCCCAGTTGCACCGAGCTGTTTGCGAGCAGGGAATGGAATACCACGAAAACTTTTCCATGTTTCCTTGTGTCGCCCCAGCGTGTCTCGCTTGATAGGTGACATCCAGCACCTGCTCTCCAACGAGACGCAGATGGAGCGATTTGACGAGGCCCTGGAGGACGTGCAGGGTCTGAGCCACCTGGCGGAGACTCTGCGCTACCGGCCCAACGTTGTGGCAGGTGGGGACCACCATCTCCTTGAATCTCGACTGCAAATCAGTTACGCTTGTACCTGGACCCCAGCAAGCCAGACTCAACAGACTGGTGTGTGGCTGCAGTTGTTTGGGCACTTCGATTTGGCACCGTTTTGGTTTGCATGCATGTGACTGTGGTCGCTGCCCAACAAACAGCCGGCCACATTGTCAGGGACTGCCCTTATATGGGCAGCTAGATTAATAATACATTATCATTGCCAAGTTAAAGTTGATTTCATGTTACACGGATGATCCTGTTTAGCCAGTTGCTCGGTTTATTTTACCAGTTAGATCCGTGGTGCGTGAGCACGGCAGCAATAAAACAAAGACCAACACATCTAGGGCCAAACCCTTGGATGGCACCTGGCTACAAGGTGAAATGGAAAGTTAAGTGAATTGGTTGGCAAGGCAATTGAGTAGTTGAGTGGTTTGGATATCGACCTTTGGTGGCAAACGCAAGCAACAGAATCGGGGGCAAGGGATCTGTTTGGGTGGCCAAAGCGGTCGACACAGACTGGGAGACCTGGTGGTGCATTCGCCAATCACCCCATGACATCCAAATCCATCTCACTGACTTCATAAAATGAGTGAATTCTCACCTGTCCACCCACACTCAACTGAGCTTCTCACTGCGAGCTCCTGAGAATACTTGTATTCCCACATTCCCTCAATCATCATCACTGCAAGGTGTTGGTTCATCTCTCACCCATGCTCCCTGGGACCTGTCCCCTTGTACATGACCTTCAAAGTGAGCCCCACCTGCGCCACAAAGACCATGATAACGCCACTGTCACTCAGTGGTGAACACCTGCTGTTGTCTTGTGATGATGTTGTTGATAATGCTGACGGAGTTGTTGATGTTGTTGTTGTTGCTGCTTGTAGGGAGAGGGGTGCGGGTGAGGGATTTCCTAAGGGAACATGAGAACCTCACGTTGTTTATGCAGAGAGACATGGGCTTGCCGAGACAAGTATCCACCGAGATTCTGGAGATGCGAGTCCGCCTGGAGCAGGTGAGAATCACGTGCTGTGCCCGTCAGTAGAAACTACCCAGAATCCATTGCAGCTGCCACGATTGTTTGATGGCAATACTCCAAAACTGCAATTGCTTTTACATTTTATATCTGTATTATTGTAGTTGACAAAGTCAGTATGATTTAATATTTAATTCTGATTCCTATGTTTTATCGATGTAATATACAATTTTACATTAGCTTATATTTTGTTATTGAGATTTGTGTTTTCGATGCACCTTTTTTACATGCATGATTTGAATTATCCCAGGACACCCTTATAAACAAGACCATGTTTCGTGTTATCAGAACACGGATGTTTACATCTTCCAGTAAAATAACAAAAAATTCTACTTTTACTGAGATGCTACCATGATATAATGATTAGTAGACTGGATTTGCTATCCAGAGGTCATTGGTTCAATCTCGTGGTGTGGGACTTGAAATACTGGGACAAGATTCTTAAATACCCTCACCTCTGTCGACCCAACAGTGCATATGGGTGTACCACAGTTAGTTGATTGCGTGTGGCCGGGTAAAGTTTTCATATGCCCATCTCCTCTAATTAGTGGCCAGCTTAGCAGAGTAGGCCAAATGCCCTTTTGAAGTGTTCTGTAGAGCTCCGCAAAGGCCCTTCTGCCAGCAGTGTCGTAAGCAAGCAATTGCAGGGCTGCACCTACACCTGTTTACATTTACTCGTACTAATGATCAAGGAATGTCCATCACCTCATTGCGGCTATCCCATAATCCTCCTCCCTTCTCTCTTCTCATCTCTCCCCCCACCCTCCCACCACCTGACCGTGGTCCTACCCACTCCCCTGTAGTTTGTGGAGGGGATTCCGTCGCTGTCTCTGAAGGAGATTGCGTGCGACGATCAGCTGCTGCGCCACTTCCTCGTGTTCCGCTCGGCGAGAGCGTGCTCCACTGTGCGCTCTGCCCTCTGCTTCCTGCCCCAGCCTCGGCTCCAACAGCTGGAGGATGTCCTCTACGCCAATGTGGATTTCTACAGACTTCTGCGGGAGGTGGGAGCCATGCAGTAGAGGGTTCGGGGGATAGAGGGGGCGGGTGCGGTTGGGGTAGGGTTATGGGTTGGGGCAGGCAACCGAAATAAGAATGAGAGGGAATTTTTTTCGAATTCGGTAAAAAAAACCCTCAATATTTCAAGAGTTGCAATGCAATGTGAATAACGTCACGAAGAAATCATTAAAGCTCCGGAGCCACAGTTTGCCGACCCCTGGGTTGGAGTTAAGAGTTTCTGAGGTGGGGGTTCGGAATAATTACAATAATTTAGTACATTTTCTCATCAAACCATTTTCAAGAGCGAAAAAAGGAATGACAGAGGCTGCGTTTTATAGGCAGCCTGCAGTAGTTTAACTGCAGGAGGCGATGTTGCCCTGTGTAATCCCATTTGGGTAATTTGTGTTTTGCTTATGGTTATGAGTTATATGAAGAGTGCCAGAGTTAGGGGTTATGGGTGGACGTTGAAGTAGAGGTGCATTTAGCGCCATGGATAAGGTTATGGGATTGTACTAGGAGTAGGTTTTAGTGGCAGAGCTCGTGATGGCGGTAAGGTTATGGTAGTATGTTACCATGGGGCAGTGGTTATGGTAGTATATTACCATAGTGGTAGTAATATGTGTAGTGGTTGTGTTAGAAATAGGGGCAGGGATAGTGTTAGAGGTAGGGGTAGTTGTAGGTCTATTGAAATGAACTTGAACTTGTTCATCAGTACAGTACATTTAATGTTAAGATTATATGTTATTGCTTTTGAAGTATTGCTGGGGGTTATGGGTTATGACTAGAGATGTTAAGATGATGGTTATTGACAGGGGTCGTGTTAGAATCAGTAAATCAGTATTCATAATCGTGTTAGGGCTGGAGTTAGGGTACATGTAACGATTAAGAGTCAGTGTTAGGGTCTAGGTACCCTCTTCACCACCACGGTGACCACCACCAACATCATGCTCATGCAGTGGTGACGATGGCGAACGTTCTCCGTCCACAGATGTCCTTTGTGTTGGACGATGTCTCTCCTCGTCTGTCCGCGGACGGCTGGAGGGAGGTGACGACGAGTTTAGCCAACCTCTTTCGACAGGTAAGGCGACGAGTCCCGGGGTCTCGCTGCTCATGCGAGCACCAGGCGGGGCTCATCTCCATTAAGCGGCCTTGAGTGCGCGGTGGGAAGTCCATATTCCCATGGCGGTTCCGGCGCTGTCGTAAGAATATCTGGCATCGCCCAGTGTGAAAACTTGAAAACCTATGCGAATGCACGAATGTTAATGTCCAACACATGAACACGCAAACTAAGACTAAACTATTTGAATTTTACCAGCTAAGGCCCAATGAGCTATATCTCTCTTTTCAGAAGTGACCTGGCCACAAATGATAGCTCAACGAAGTGGCTTATCACGTGGAAATGTATAGTAGCCAAATTCTCTAAAAGCATGTTTCTAAATGTGGAGGGAAAAAATGGGGGACGTGGAGATAAATACACGTGACCATGGGGAGAACATGCAAACTCCAAATATACAACAGGCGTCAGGGTCGGGATCGAACCCATGACCTCCTGTATACCAGGCAAGGTAGCTAACATCTCACCACCATGAAGAAAGATACATAGAACTAGGGCTTGAACCCAACATGTTTGTGGATGCCAGCTGAGAGGCGTCTGACTCAAATGTTCAGTCCCCCCAGCGACCTGGTCACCTCAGCTGTTTGGTTATTGTGAGTCGCGTCTTCTTGTGAGCGAGACTTCCCTTCCCCCCCCACCACAGTTCACATCGCTGCAAAGCTTCACGTCGCTGATGAGGGAGGCTTCCTTCTTGAATGGCCTGGGCCTGGCTGAGAACACGAGCGACGGCCTGCGTGAGGAGCAGGTTGGGCCGGTGCTGTCATCGCTTTCGGGTCTCCTGTGCGGACACCCCGAGGCGGGTGGGCGCAAGATCCTCTCGTTCAACTGGTACGAGGACAACGACTACAAGACCTTCCTGGGCATCGATGATAATGACGACGATGGTGGTGGCAATGATGAGGAGCGGCAGGGAGGCAGACGCCAACATCAGTATGACAACTCAACAAGTGAGATGGTGGTGGTGATGGTGAAGATGATGATGGTGGTTAGGGTTGATGATAGCTTTGGTTGTGGTAATGTTCGTGGTGATGTTGGAGTTGGTAATTATAATGGCGGAGGTGGTGCAGATGATGGTGGTACTAATAATTATTTAGTTGGTGGTGGTTATGATAATGATGGTATTGGGTGTGGTGGTGACAATGCTGATAGTGGTGATGGTGGTGGCGGTGGTGGTGTTGGTGATTGATAGCAGTGGCGAAAGTGATGAAAGAGATGTTTGTGGTGGTGGTGGTGATCATGACGGTGGTTGAGGTGATGGTGATAGCATTGATAGTAATTCTGGTGGTATTGGTGACCTCCAAACACTACCTCTTGGCCATCTGTGACCAGCGTGACCTCGCGCCCCAACGACCTTTGTGTACGTGCGTCCCGGCCCTGCAGCCCCGTTCTGTAACGCCCTGCTGCAAGGCCTGCAGACGAACAGCGCGTCGCGCTTCGCCTGGACCATGCTCCAGCCACTGCTCCAGGGCAAGATCCTGTACGCGCCGGACACGCCAGCCACCCGCAGCATCATGCACGAGGTAACCGCACTGTCACCGATGCCGCCACAGCCGCCGCCGCTGCTGTTGCTGCTGGCGGTGGTGGAGGTGATGGTGTCAGTTGTGTTAATCATTGTGGTAGTGGTGGAGGTGATGGTGTTGACTGTGTTTATCATTGTGATAGTGGTGGAGAGGGTGGTGTAGGTTGTTGTTCATCGTTGTGGTAGTGGTGGAGGGGGTGGTGTTGACTGTGTTTATCATTGTGGTAGTAGTGGAGGGGGTGGTGTAGGTTGTTGTTCATTGTTGTGGTCGTGGTGGAGGGGATGGTGTAGGTTGTTGTTCATCGTTGTGGTAGTGGTGGAGGGGGTGGTGTAGGTTGTGTTCATCGTTGTGGTCGTGGTGGAGGGGGTGGTGTTCACTGTGTTTATCATTGTATTGTTGGTATTGGTGGAGGTGATGTAGGTGGTGGTGGTGATGATGTAGGAATAATGGTGGTGTGATGGTGGAGACAGCAGTGTCCGAGTTGGTATTGATGGAGGTGGTGGAGATGGTGGTGGTGATAATAATGGAGATGGTGTTTCGTTGGTGATGATGGTGGTGGTGTCTGTGTTGGTGGTGTCGGTCTCATAGAGGTGATGGGGTTGATAAATGAGAACAACAATAATCATGTTGATAGTGATGGTGATGTTGAAAGTAGCAAGTATATATTTGTTGACGAAGCTGCTGTTGCTTCTGCTGCCGCTATTACTCCCCAACTGGCGCTGCTGTCTCTTGCGCTGCTGCTGCTGCAGGCAAACCGCACATTCGCAGAGCTGGAGATGATATACAAGTTCGGTCTTGCATGGGAGGAGGTCGCGCCCCAGATCTGGGACTTCCTCAACAGCAGCTTGGCCCTGAGGCTACTCAGGGTAAGGCCCACCTCCCCCATCCCCCCTCCCCCTGTCATGTTCACCTGCATCACTTGAACCTTATTGCGGTACCCTGGGGTACCATAGTACCCCGGCTATCGCATAATGTCTGTGATGCAGTCATTTTTAGTCTGCTGATGGTCGGCGATGCGGCAATTGACTCATCTTGACGAGCTGTACACAATGCACTAAGGTGCGTACGAGCGTTCAGGGTTTCAGCGCAATCGTCCTCGCTGCGTTTCGACATCGCGGAGTAGCACCGATTTCGGATTGATTGGTACCCCAGTCGCGGAGTTAAGTAAACCCCTGGAAAAAATAGTGTCCCAGAAATAAAATAATTAATTGCCTCGGCCATTTTGTATTATTTGGTACCCCGGGGTACCGCCATAAGGATCATTTACCCTACCCCTAAATACTGTCCTACCATGGGCATGCTTAATTATCATCTCCAAAATGGCCATTATGAATGTCCTGAGACATATACAGAGACACCCAGACCTAGACGTTAATCCTGGAACCCAGAATCTCAACGGTGTCTGCGTATTGTCTCAGACGTAGACATCATAAACCTCCTGAGAGGCAGAGGCACATGTATTGAGAGACACCCCGACCCTGGACTTGAACCCACGATCTCGGTAGTGCTGGATTGGTGTCACTAAGCCGCCTTCATGAACTTGAATGGACCATTATGAACCTCCCAAGAGAGGGAGACGAGCATCGTGAGAGACACCTAAATCCAAGGTTTTAATCCAGAATCTCGGCAGTACTGGCTTAGTGACGCAGGCATCATGGACCCAATAAGCGAGAGAGAGATGCACTGCCCCGGAGTTCGAAACGCTTGTCTTGCAACATGGCTACGTTGAACCCACGCCCTTTGACCCGGCGGCAGGAGACCTTGGGGAACGCGGCGGTGGCCACCTTCGTCGACTCCCAACTCTCGGACACCGGGCTGGATGCCAGAACCATTGCCGACTTCCTCTCTGAGGGTCCTTCGAGGGAGCGAGGCAATGGCACGGCGCCGGGCTGGAGGGAGGTGTTCATGGTGGTGGACCTCGCCATTCGCTCGCTCACCCGTTTCCTTGAGGTGCAGCCGGGGACAACGCATGGATAGCGGCATGAGTAGTGGCAAGGATAGAGGAACAGGTAGAGGTATGGATAATGGGACAGGTAGAGGCATGGATAGTGGTACAAGTAGAGGCAAGGGTAGCATATAGCAGCACGGATATAGGGAAGGATAGTGGCACGTATAGTGGCACAGGTAGAGGCACGGGTGGAGGCAGGGGTAGAGGCAGGGGTAAAGGTACAGGTAAAGGCATGGGTAGCGGCATGGGTAGCAGCAGCACAACTCGCACACGTACCGTACACACACACACGAACCCTTAAAAACACCGGCCTCACTCAGTAGGCGCTCGCTAAATCTGCGCTCACCAAACGTGTGGTAGTGCATGGAGCTGGACAAGCTGGAGGGGGTGCAGGACGAGCCCGGGCTGGAGCGCCGGGCACTGGAGCTGCTGGAGGAGCGGAAGCTCTGGGCCGGCGTCGTCTTCCTGGACCTCTTCTCTCCCTCCGCCCTGCCGCAGCACCTGCGCTACAAGATCCGCACCGACATCGACCGCACCGAGAGGACAAGCAAGAGCCGAGACCGGTAGCAGCAGCATCACCAGCAGCAGCTGAGGCAGCAGTAGTGGCAGCGTCATTTCTAGGAGTTGCAGAAGCAGTTGTAGTTGCAGGAACAAGATCGGCACAAGCAGAAGCAACAACATCGTCATTGTCAATGTAAATAAATAATAGTCACAATGATCTTGGGGGGGGGGGAGGCCTTCATCCAGCAGTAGGTAGATTATGATAATGAAGAATTATCCCATCTGACGTCTGTAAGTTGCAGGGTGGGTCCCGTTCACCTCTGAATATCGGAATGCGCAAACGACTCAGTGTACATTTTATTTAGAGAGGCCGTTGCTTTTTGAAGACACTGTACTCACCACAGAGAACTGTAGCGACGCAACCGCACTCTACCATAGCTGGCGCCAAACTGTACCACACACCCTCCCACATGGCCTTGTGGGAGCCTCGGTACCGATAAAGTAATTTTATTATAGTTTTTATTCCGGATGTGTTTTGATGATGTACACGTTCGTGATCGAAACGGGAAAGGGTCAAGGGATCAAATTAATTTACCATAACTCGATCTCCGCCATCTCCCCCCCACCGTTCCTTTTCTCTGCAATCCCACAACCCGTTCTCCGGGTTCTCGGCGGCCGCGACGGGATACCAGCTACTGGGACCCGGGCCCTCGCGCAGATGCAGCTGAGGACATGAGCTACATCTGGGGTGGCTTTGCGTACCTGCAGGACATGGTAGAGCGCGGGATCGTGCAGGCGCAGACGGGCGCGGCCACCATGGGCCTCTACCTGCAGCAGATGCCATACCCCTGCTTCGTCGATGACCCGTAAGGCCGCCCGCGTTCCCTTACACCCCCCTCCCAGTTGTCACCGGTAGTGCAGTGGCCGCAATTTCCGTTCGTAGTGCGAAGCTCTAAAATCAAGCGCTAGTCCTAATATTTAACGCTAGCCCGAACATCGAACCATAGCCCTAACCCTCACACTAACAATCAACCTAACACTAACCCCCAACTCAAACCCTTCCACTAACGCTAACCCTATCCCTAACCACTAACACTACCCCTTGCCTTAACCCTTCCACTAACCCGAACTCAAAGTCTAACCCTAATCCTATCATTAACAGTATTCCTAGCCCTTGCACTAACCCTAAGCCTTTCCCTGCCCCTACCCCCTCAACTCTGCCCCTACCCCTGAACCCTTGCGCCCTGACCCCCCGCCAGCTTCACCACGTACATCGGTAACATCCTGCCCATGTTCATGACGCTCGCGTTCATCCTGCCCGTGTGCCTCATCATCAAGAGCATCGTCTGGGAAAAGGAGCGCCGCCTCAAGGAGGTGCTGCGGGCCTCGGGCCTAGGCCGCGGCACGCTGTGGGCCGCGTGGTTCACCGACAGCGTGCTCACAATGGTCGTCTCCTGCGCCTTCCTCGCCGTGATCATCAAGGTCGGCGGCAGTGGTGACGTCGCCGGCTGAGGGCGGAGATGTCCGCCAAAATATATATTTTTTAATCGGGCCTGCGCGATTGGACGGTCAAGTCCAGGGCGGTGTCCACCATCAGTTTCACAACGGTTGGAAATTAACGGCGTCACAAATGGGGTGGCAAAAATGGCCGTGGAGCTTCATTTAGTGAACAATACAAAGGAGTGTTGGGATCTGCTGGGTCATTTGTCATTGAGCGGAGATGGCTGAGTGGAGAGTTGGTTAAAATTCTGTAATAACACCAGGCAAGGTTCCTGCATCAGATAGAATGGAGCTTCTGTGCCGGATGAGACAAGGGCTCCATAATAGGGTTCTCTATCGGATTAGACGAGGGTTCACCGCGGCTTGTGGCATGTACATTGGACGTTGAACTTCTTTCTCGCCGTACGTAGCCAACCGCACCCGTTGGAGGTGAGGTGTTCCACACCGTTTGCATCACTTTCCAAAATCGGCTTCGCCTGATGACCGACCGTCGTCGAACTTTTTCCTCCCACCCGCTTGTCTCCGTGCCTACCTCGCTAGGTTCTCTCTGGCCCTGAGCCGCTGCTTCGCTCTCTTCATGGTCCTCTCTTGGGTCTTCGCCGTCTCAATGGCCGTCAAAAACGTGGTCCTGGAGAAGGAGCTCCGACTCCGGGAGACCATGCGTTCGATGGGACTGGACGCTCGAACCCTCTGGCTTGCCTGGTTTATCGATTGCCTTGTCTCTGCGAGCCTCAGCAACGTGCTGCTCACTCTGCTGCTCATGGTAATGGCGCTGCGTTCTCGCACTTCTCCTGTCTCTGCGGCCCCGGTCCATCGGGCTTGTAACGAATCTCACCACCCCCCTCCTCCCCATCCCCACCCCCCAGCGGTTTTGAGGAATTGTCACAAATGGGCATCACTATTCATTCCAAGAATACAATTTTCTCTACCTCTTTTGTACCCCCCCCCATTTCGTTTGTACGTTTGCGTGTCATTTTCGTGAATTGTAAATAGTTGTAACACATCATACCATGACTGTTAAAACTATTTTAATTTACATGTCGTTGCATGCCTATGGTCCACGCGTAGCGATTGATTTTTTTTATAAAACATACTACAAAGTAACTGTCCTTATTGAGACAGCCAATTATCTCGGTTACTCCATTTCGTATAGCATCTCATCGCTAATATTTGTTAACAATTATTGTCATACGTTTGTTGGGCTTTTTTCTCCCAGTTATATTTCACTTGTGTGGCTATTGACTCAATTTCTCTGCTGCCCTTTCTCTCTCAGTAATAATCACTACAGACTGTGCTCATGTCTTTGTTCATTAGACCTGAACACAAAGATCAAACCACTTCGATCAAACCAATTTTTATTAACATTCAATCAATGAGACCATCAACTCATTAGGCTTGTGAACCCGGTTTAATTAACAACGCCGCTGCTAACGAGCTCAGTGACAAATGAGCGTGTGTTCGAGCTCACCGAGGAACCTCATCGTTTACTTCAGATTGCAAACAGCAAGCAAGATTTGTATGATTGGAACACATTTTAAATGAGCATTAAACAATGTGGCCGATTTCATGATGTGCGAAACATAGCAATTATACCTTGACTGTATTTTTGTATGTGGACAAAATGGCCAAATCTGCATAAATTGTCAAAGATTTGTCTGTATTTCTGCCAGTTATTGGCAGAAACTCTTTCCACATCTGGCTTTGGTGGTGAATGCACGCGATCCAGTGCTGAGGAGGCAGGGTTGGTGGATATCACCGAGATTTATAACACGCTGTAAAACTCCACAACCTGCCAGGCTGCCAGACAGCCAGGGCGACGCGCTGTACAACAAGTGAGTCTGTGATTATCTCGTACACGTAGAAGTATTCAGAAGTAAGCCTAACCAAACACTGCCGCCCCCCTCTCGCCCCTATCCCACGCGACCTCCGACTCCCGCAGTATGGGAAAGTGCTGCAGTACAGCGACCCTTTGGTGCTCTTCCTGTTCCTGACGGCGTTCGCCGTGGCGACCGTGTCCCAGTGCTTCCTGCTCAGCGTCTTCTTCTCCAGAGCCAACCTCGCAGCGGCGTGCGGAGGCCTCGCCTATTTCCTGCTCTACCTCCCGCACATCCTGTGCTTCATGTGGCAGGACTACTTGACCTTCCCCATCAAGATGGGCGTCGTAAGTTCCACGAAACCCTGCGTGCATCTGTCCGTCCGTTCGTCGATTGGTTGGTTTGCTCATCACCAGGGACTGAGTTGGAGTAGACGGTACGGGAATAGTAGCCGCAGCCATCACGAGAGGTGTACTGGATGTGGTGTATGTATGTACGTACGTTTTGTTGAACTTCTTTTGCACCGTATGTACCCAACCGTGCTAATCGGAGGTATGCCTGCCTGGTGCGGATATATTTTTAAGGTGGCGTAACCTGGACAGAATTTAATCTCTGGCCGTTAACTCGGGAAGATTTATGTTCGTTCGTTAGTCTTTCAAGCGCCCATGGCCACGTCACCCGAACTGCTCTCAATACCAACGTTTCTGCCTCGTAAGCGCTGGATCGCAGTGCTTAGTCGGGTGACCTCCACGCACAAGACAGGCTGTTTTAGGCTGCTGCAGGGCCACATTGTGGGCAGTAAAAGGCCATGCAGCAAAATCCATTGTTGTACTGTGTATCTATGAGGCCTACCTTCACCAACCACTACGAGCTAACATGCTGAAGCCTTGTCAAATAATCCCCACGTACCCCCACGACCCGCACGTACATCACTCACGACCCGCACCTACATCATTCATATTATAACTGAGTGTTCTCTTTGTTGTTGTTGCAGAGTTTACTTTCGACCGTAGCCTTTGGCTTTGGATGTGAAAGCATCTCCCGCCTGGAGGAGCAAGGAATCGGAATCCAGTGGCACAACCTGGCATCGAACCCGGCGGCCGGAGAGTCGTACACCCTGCTCACATCCCTGCTGATGATGCTGTGCGACGCGGTCATCTACGGCCTCCTCACCTGGTACATCGAGGCCGTCTTCCCAGGTGCGTCGGGAGCAGATCTGGAGGTTGCCCGGTGTGCCGGTTTACTCGTGGTGTTCTCCCTTTGCAGTGCCCTTAGGAGGCAGTGGAGAACGGTAGATTACTGCTGCGTATACATTGGCGGAGTCTTGAGTGGTGTACAGTTCAGCTTGGCTTCACAGACGATCCGACCTAAAAGCACGCAGCTCTTCTTCACTAGCTACACTGCTAGGTCGTGTGTCCTGGGCTGAACTGCATGGATTTCCAGCATTGTGAGTGGTAGGATTAGTGGCTAGAGTTAGTGTTAGGTGTTACGCTTAATGTTAGGGTTAGGTTTAATGTTAGGTGTAATGTTCGGTTCAATATTAGGGTTAGTCGAAGGACGATGAGCGTTGTGTTTCATGTTAGGTTTAGGTTGGTGTGAGTGGTAAGATGTGTTTACGGCAATGTTGGAGTTAGGCTTTATGCTTCATGGAACAGGGTAAAGCCTTCATTCTCACTGGGGATAGCATCAATGTTTGGTCTAGTGAAAGTGCCTCCCTCTCCTGATCTCTCTGAGGTGGTATGTTCCTAATGGCCGTGTCGGGCCCTCCCTCCGTCTTTCTTTCTCTCTCTCTACTCCACAGGACAGTACGGAGTCCCCAAGCCGTGGCATTTCCCGTTCACGAGCTGCGTCACCACGCTGGGCCCTCAGTCCCCACAGGGGACGACCTCCTCCAAACCCACGGCCGGTGAGCCTCACCCGGCGGGGGCTCTACACGTGTACGCGTACAGCCCCTTGTTCAATCCACTGCTGGATGAGGGGGGCCTCCCCCACCACGCCGTTGCAGCAGCTTGTGTGGGTTATTCGATACCCTACGCCGCCGCTGGTCGGTGTGTGTTTGGTGAAGGTGGAGAGCAGAGGCGAGGCAGCGTACAAGTACAGTCGTGCCTTTGTCTAACGCTGTTGTATCGGACGCGTGTTTCGGCTACACGCAGTTTACTTATTGAGGTACGCTTTCCGGAACACGGGGGTGATGTTTCAGCCATACGAGGTTTTAGTTTATTATATTTCAATATATTGTGTGTCTGTTATTATTTTTTACGTGATACCAAGTGGGGTAAGTAATATACAATTAGTGAAACCAGGAACGCAACCCTATTTTTCCATGAGGTATATTATTTGTCGAACGTGGTTTTGCGCAACATGACATTTTCCAGGAACGTGACCCCCACGTTCGGTGAGGTATTACAAGTACAGCAAATATTTCCAAAATCTTAAACAACACAAGATCCAGATCCAATTCAGTACAGTACACAAAATCCGTGATCTAATCCCATCTGTGAAGGATGTCATTCCTGACATGCAATATCCTGGAGTCTACAAACTAAGTTGCACCTGTGGTGATTGTTACATTGGGGAAACGAAACGACATGTCTCGGACCGTGTTCGCGAGCACAAGGCATATCTAAAACACGGCAGAACCAATACCTCCGCCGTGGCTGACCATTGTTACAACGCTGTGGGCTCTCATGATATTGTTTTTTCCGAGACCAAGGTGCTCTGGAAACCTTCGGGCTACTATCAAAGGTTTGTTCATGAAGCCATCCAGATATATAAACATAGACATAACTTCAACCGAGAAGATGGATACAAATTGAGCAATCATTGGAAGGATGTTATTAATCAGGTAAAACCTTAAATGCTTTATGGTGTTGCCTTCATATCCACATCTCCTGTTGCTTTAGCTCCCCACTCCCAGCCCGCTCTCTTTTCCTCCCCAACCCCCCCCCCCCTGACATTTTGTCTCTGCTCACCCTTTAATCCCTTCTAGTCGCACTCCACTTGGCAGCAATCCACTCCCCCTACCCCACACCCCCCCCTCTCTATCTCTCCTCCCTGGCTCCTCCCCCCTCTCTTACCTAGATAGCCTCTTGTTACAGCAGCCCTTTTGCCCACTTCAGCAATTGTTTCTTACTGTGGTTGTCACTGATGGCGGACGCTTGTGTTGCGCCCGAAACGTCGTGATTTAATTTATTTTATTTTATACCCTATGTGACACCTACGTGACTTTACCGAAAAAACCAAGAGTACAGCACAACAGTGGCTTTTTCTACGATGCTCTCTGCTGCCCACCACGCAGCCCGAGAGCCTTTTAGCACTTTAACCCTTGCTTCCCTTGCCGAGATCTGACGAGTATTACGGGTGATTTGTCACGTCAGCGATCGTTGGAACACAACTAAGATCCTCGGTTCAATGTTAAATCTTTTGGGCTGCATCTTTCTTTAGCTTCATCGTCTGCCGTGTATATTTCTAAAACTTCTTTAAAAGAACCCATCAAGGTATAAACTTTTCTCATTTTCTTCCTCCTCCCTTCACCTTTGTCTTTCTCTCCGCCTTAATGTTTCTCCGCCTCGTCTTCTCAAACTGCAACAATATCGTCAGCGAAAGGAAGTTCGGCCACGGGCCCTGCAACCATTGCCACGACAACCATAAAAGGCTCGAAGCAGCCAGAGGCCAGCAAGGGTGAGAAAGTGGCACAGAAAGGGGGTGGCCAAGAAGAGAGGAATTCTGGGAAAAAGGGCGGTGGTGACAAAGGAAATCCTGGGGGAGGAGACGGCACTGACAAAAGGGATTCTGGGAAAAGGGGCAACCGTGAAGCAGACGTTTCTGGGACAGCGGTCAATCATGACAGGCGGGTGGCATGGTCAGCTGACATTGCGGAGCGGGCATCCAAGAAGGGAAAAAGGGGTGCCCGGCGTTCCCAAGGGAAGGGCCAAGGAAGCGGTGGAGTGAGCCGGAGCAAGGAGAAAAAGTCCACAACGAAGGCAACAAAACGAACAAACGCTGAACCCGACGGACATCTGAACAGGGGTAAAGTCCAGAGTCGCACGCTCATAATGGCTGTGTCAAAGAAATTCAGAACTGTTGAGGTCTTGATTTTGAGGTTCAAGCTTTGGGGCTGGGTGCATCTCTCTTTCCCTTTCTCTCTCAGGCTGAGTGTCCTAGAAACCCAGTCAGCATCAAGGAGATCCTGGATATTAAGAGAATGACTAAATAAAATCCAGACACCAAGAATGTTTTTTTGGGCAAGCCATTAAATTAAGATGGTTACCGCATCGCACAATTCCATATGTGCTTCTGCTGCCGTCTGAAACCCTCTTCTTTCCAATATTGGGAAACCACCAGAGCTATGCACTTCTCAATCTCGATTGAAAACTAATTTATTTCGAACAGCTTTTTGTGTTTAGTTTGTTATCATTACCGTGCACGTACAGAGCGAAAGAAGTTCAACATACATACAAAAATTTACTGAAATTCCCAAGGCTGTAATCGACCAGACTAAGCCTGCAAAATAACAAAAGCTGACTAAATGAATTCTCTTCTTGTTTCTTTCGGTAAAGTCACGTAGAAGGGAAATAATAAAATAATACAAATAAAACATAATAAAATATTTGATTATGTTTTATTTTTAATAATGAAAACATAAAAATACAACATAATCAAATATTTCATTATGTTTTCTTCTACGTGACTTTACTGAAAGACCCAAGAAGATGAATCCCTGCAGTCGCGAAAGCTTGAAATCGAAATCTAAATGAATGCTGTCGCGGAGCCCTGCGTGACACAGTGGGAGACCGACCGACCTCTCCCCCTTTCCGCATCTGTCTGCAGACGAAGTCCTTGTCGAGGAGGAGTCGGTGGAGCTCACGCTGGGAGTGAGCGTGCAGAACCTGGTGAAGAAGTACTCGACCATGGAGCGCCCGGCTGTTGACGGGCTGAGTCTGAATTTCTACCAAGACCAGATCACCTCCTTCCTGGGGCACAACGGGGCAGGGAAGACAACGACCATGTGAGTCACACATGGGGTGCTGGTGGCAGGGAGCGGAAGTGTAAGCGGTTACGAACCCGGCGACCCAAGCTCCATTCCCGCTCATGGCCAACACCAGTGACGATTATCTGAACCCATCCTGGGCCTCTCCTAGACCGACTCAGCCTCTAATGAGTACCTGTTGCGGTGGGTAAATATCGCTACTGGAGAGACAATGGCGATCAGGGCATGGTGCTGGCCAACCACCCCCTAGTGTACCGTGCTAGCCTTCATAGGTGCTTGCTAACTGCACTTGCTTCAACAGCCTGTTAATGCTATATGGGGGATCTTTGTCTTTGGTTTGCTACTGGTGGAGGGGGTGGTGGCGATGGTGGTGGTGATAGTGTGGGTAATTTTGCGTGGCCGGGAGTGGGCTGCGACAGAGATATCCTCTGGCCCCTACAATATTTATCGTCTTCTTTGGACACGTAGCTACGGTACAGATACAATGGGAGGCTAATCGATGCCCGTCTACAGTCAAGGGATGGCTAAGATAATTGCTGCCTTGTCTGAGTTGGAGAAATTACAACTGAACCTGAAGCATTCCACTAAGAGGTGGAGTCTTACCATCAGCCACATCGAAGACTTGCCTAGGTACTTTATATCATCAAACACTCTACCCCCTCAACTCCCCATGAGCGATGGGGCAGTTGTAGAGAGAGTGGAGACATTTTCGTACCTGGGCAGTTTGCTTATGACTGTTCTGGCAGGTTTGGCAGCAGAAGTGTTACTCCGAATAAGTTGAGTGGCATTCCCTTTTCATCAGCTGCGTAACGCTGTGTGAAAGCTACCTGGCCTATCACTCCATACGAAGCTCCGGGTCTTCTGGACCACAGTTATGCCCTCTCTTCTCTATGCTTGCAAAGCATGGAGCCCTTTAAAGGACCATTTGCGTTGGTTTAAAACGACGAGCGAATGCAACAAGTTGGCACAGTAGGGAGCTCTGCTTGTGGGTTCATCTGCCAGTCATCTCAATCAGTCAATCCATAGCACCTGGGTCTGTCCCGTGAACACCTGTCAGCGAGCCTTCGACACTTCACGTGGCCTCAAAGTGTACCTGGCCTGGCACAGCGGCCGTGGTGACGACACCGCCACTTAGTGGCAAATGGCAGCTGTTGTTGTTGATGTCGGTGTGGGTGGTGATGATAAAAGCGATGACGATGGTGGTGTTGATGCTATTGCTTTTTGTGCTGCTGCTCATGGTTGTGGTGGTGAAGTTGCTGGTGATGATGACGACAATGGTGGTGATGATGACAACGATAGTTGGTGATGATGACAACGATGTTTGATGATAATTCTACTGCTAATAATGGTGGTGATAATCAATGACGATGTTGATGACAATGATGGCAACAAATGCTTTTGCTGCTGCCGATGACGACGATGGTGAATATGCTGCTGCTAATGTTGCTCCTGCTGATGATGATGTTTGATGAGTCTGATTATGACGGCGATGGTGTACGTTGTGATGGTTGTGTTTAAGATCCTGACATAACTCAGTGTCCCCAACGTGACCTTTACAAACCCGACACGGCCATTGTGAACCACGTGAGCCACCCAGCCCTCCTCTTCGCTTGACGCTTAAATTCCCGCTCAGGTCCATCCTAACGGGGCTCTTCCCCCCGACGTCCGGCACGGCCCTCATCTACGGCAAGGACATCCGCACGGAGATGGAGTCGATTCGGAGCAGCCTTGGCACCTGCCCCCAACACAACGTGCTCTTCAACCAGTGAGTGCACACAGGAACGTTCTGCTCTCACCAGCTTGATTGCTTGCTTGCTCACTCACTCGCTCACCAACTCACAAGCCCAGCCACCGATGTATTTGCTCACTCGCCCATCCCACCCTGTGTCATCGCGAACGAGTGTGCACACCGGCGCACTCACTCAATCGCTCATTCACTTATACGCCGACTCACTGATTTACTTACTCGTGTACTAATTGCATCAGTCATGCACGCACTCACTAACTTATCTAATCACTGGTTCACTCGCTCATTTAACTTATTCACTCATCACCTATTCATTCACCCATGAACTCGTTTGTTCACCCACACTCTCTCACTCACCCACTCATTGTCACTCGCTCACTCGTTCAAAATGTCTCCCTGCTGCAATGAGTTTAAGGAGGTGCTCACCTCCATCGGTCCAAAACTGAAAATTCTACATTCCTATGGCCGGAGACCAGTCTTCTCCCTCGCGTCAATCACAGACTCGGTCTCTCCTCCCTGGGCATTGTTAACGGGCGATGATGTCTTGTCTCCACGAGGTTGACCGTGGAGGAGCACATCTGGTTTTACGCGCGGCTCAAGGGCTGCTCGTCAGAAGACGTGAAAGAGGAGGTGGAGCGCATGCTGGAGGACACAGGGCTGCTGATGAAGAGAGCCGAGCAGGCGGGGAACCTGTCCGGTGAGGCGGCACATAACACGTGGTGGCCAAAGCAGCAGCAGCAGTCAGAGCAGTTGGCAGCAAGAGGATGAGGAGTAAAGTCATTTTCAGTTCTGTTGTAGTAGATGCATCATCGTAATCTGTAATGCAGCAAACCCTTCCCTCTCGCGAGTTCAGCTAACATCGCGGTTTTCTCGCCCAAATTTACTGAGGTACAGTTCACCAATCGCGCCCCTGTGTAAGTGTTTGATGGTGCCATTCCAGTACGCGTCGTAACTGTACTGCTCGCGATGATGCTGCTGCTGCCGAAGAAGAACGCACGCGCTAACGTGTTTCCCAAGCAGCCCATCGTGGGTCCCAGGTCACGTGCTATTCCCAGCCCCCAGTGAGTCAGTGAGGTTTAACCACACCATATTCTTTCCTTTAGTGGACAGTACTGTACACGGATGCGTGTGGAAAGTGTCTCACAGTGCGACAGGTGAGAGTGAGTGGAGAGGTGAGGGGTCAGTAGGGAGTGGTAGTGCAACGTAGCCTTTCGCGACCGGTATTGTTCATAATGAAGGTTTTTTGAGTTACATAGCTTAAATGCACATTTATATTTACGCAATTTTACGCAAAAACCTTTATTATGGGTAGTGCCATGGTCAGTGTGCTGTGCTATGAATCCGGCGACTTGAGTGCAATTGCCGCTCACGGCCAATGCCAGTGAGAATAATCTGAATCGGTTTTGGGCCTGTCCAAGGTCAACTCAGCCTCAAATGAGTACCTGGTGCGGTGTGTAAACATTGCCACTGGGGAGACAAAGTCGTGGGGCTGGTCACCCGCCCGCTAATAGCACTTGCTCCAACAGTCTGGTAAGGCTATACGGGGGATCTTTGTCTTTATATTTGTCTACCAGGTGGGATGCAGCGGAAGTTGTCGGTGGCGATGGCGTTTGTGGCCGGCTCTCGGCTCGTGATTCTGGACGAGCCGACCGCCGGAGTCGATCCCTTCGCTCGCCGTGGCATCTGGGAGCTCCTGCTCAAGTACAAACATGGTAAGTACCCCTGGTCAGGGGTCGGCTGTGTGCCTGCGGTGGAAATCCTACATTCCCTTGGCAGGAAAAAGTATCTCGTGAGGACAGTGATTATACATTAACACACACGCACACATAAATGAGTTATTACTGTATATACAAGACAAAGATAAAGTTCCCCCATAAAGCCTTTAACAGACTGTTGACGCAAGTGCTCTTAGCGAGCACCTATGAAGGCTGGCACGGCACATGTGGGGATGGGTGGCCAGCACCGCACCCAGCCAGCTTTGTCTCCCCAGTGGAGATGTTTAAACACAGCACCTGGTACTCATTTGAGGTTGAGTCGACCGTGCGGAGGCCCAAGACCGGTTCAGATCATCGTCAACGGTGTTGGCCATCAGCCGGAATCGAACTCGGGTCGCTGGGTTCATAGCGCAGCACAATAAGCACTAAGCACTGCACTAACACTCCGCACACACACCACATGCGCGCACATCAACGCTCACCGCCACTCGCCGTCGTGCTCCCAGGCCGCACCATCATCCTGTCGACGCACCACATGGACGAGGCGGAGACGCTGGGCGACCGCATCGCGGTGATAGCGCGCGGGCGGCTCCGGTGCTGCGGCTCCTCCCTCTTCCTCAAGTCCTGCTACGGCACGGGCTACTACCTCACCGTGGTGCGCAGCGGCGCCGACGTGGTGGGGCCCAGTGGAAAGGGCCAGCAGCAGCCGGCAGAAAGGCCGGGGAAAAGCGGCGGAGGATGGTGGCGGCGGTGGAGACTTGGATACTAACGAAGACGAGGTGGAACTTGCACTTGCTGAATCACTCGCTTGCATCCTCAGTCACTCGTTCTGTCTATCCTTCACTCATCTGCTTTCTCGGTTGATCACTCTTTCACTTGTTTACTTTTTCACTTGCTCATTTAGTCAATGGCTTGCCAACTCAATCTTTAACTCGCTCACTGCCTCGTTATTAAATTTGCTCACTCACGCATTTTATATCTCGCTCACTAACTTATTTACTAGGTCACTCACTCATTCACCCACTTATTTCTGAAGCATTCACTGCTTGCTCACTTGCTCCCTCACTTGCTGACTCACCAGCTTATTTACTTGCTCACACACAGGCTCATGTACTTTCTCACGCACTCGTCCACATAGCCAGTCACTTGTTCCCTCACCTCCGATGAGCACGGTTTCTACGTACGATGCAAAAGAAATTCAACTGACATACACACAACGCGTTATTTTTGCTGTTTTCTGCTTGCAGACTGATGGGAGTTCAAGCCACAACAGCAGCTCCGATGAAGGATTTAGCAGTGAAAGAAGTTTGGAAGAGAAACTTCCCGGTAAGAGGATCTGCAAATCAAGCGATGGGATTTCAGAATGAGAATTTTTACTGATGCTCAGCTCGAGCAGACCAGGTTTTGGGATTTGATTCTTGATTTTAACTGTTTTAGGATCCGAGTCTCAATTAACATTGGATTTCAGGATCACAGTCTAGTTTCAGACCAGGTTTGGGGATTCGATTGTTCATTAAGATCAAGTTTCACATTCAGAGTGTCAATTGAGACTGGGTTTCAATATTGGAGTCGTGGTTATGACCAGGTTTTAAGATTGAAGTATCCATTGAAACTAAAACTATTTTCATTTTACCAGGTAAGGCCCACTGAGCTATTTAGTTATTTTTCAGAAGCGGCCTGGCCAGGAATGATAGCCGAATGGAGTGGCTAATGTGGAAATGTATAGCAGCTAAATACTCTGAACGCACATTTCTAAATGTGGAGGAAAAAACCGGAGGACCTGGAGAAAAACCCACGTGACCACGAGGAGAACACGCAACTTCAAATATACAGCAGGCATCAGGGTCGGGATCGAACCCACCACCTCCTGTATTTCAGGCGAGAGAGTTAAGATCTCGCCACCATGGCGCCCCTTGAGGTGGCACACATCTGTGTGCCACCTCAAGGGGAACACACGAGAGAAGATCTATCCGTAGAGCAGCAGCAGGAGGATGAGTGCCGGCAGGTTGCCATCGGCAACGTAGGCCTTCTGTTGGAAGCACAGGAACACTAGCGAACCTCTCACCACTGTGGCGCCCCCCCCCCGCCTCCCAGGCGAGGTCCTGATTCTGCAGAGCCTCGTGGAGAGGCTGGTGCCCGGTGCCCGCGTGGTGGAGAACGTGGGCCAGGAGGTGACGTTCGTGCTGCCGTACATCGGAGCCCGCGACGGCTCTTTCGCGCTCCTCTTCAGCCACCTCGACTCGAAGCTCGAGGGCCTGGGCATCTCCAGCTATGGGGTCTCGGACACCACCATGGAGGAGGTGAGCCACAAAGCCACGATGAGAAGGATGATGAGGATGATAATGATGAAGTGTTCTTCAATAGTGCATCTCGGCAGCGATTTGTTTAACGCTTGTGTTTGGCCCATGAGCAAGCGGCCACAAACACGTGTCGTGGTGGGCCATGAGGACTGGCGTTTGAGATGCCCTGTGCTGGGGAAGCGGTGAGTGACGTGCGTGGAGCGAGCGGTCTAGACGTGAGCGTTGTGGTGGTGAGATGTTAACTGCCTCGCCTGGTATACAGGAGGTCGTGGGTTCGACCCTGATGCCTGAATATTTGGAGTTTGTATGTTCTCTCCTCGTGGTCGCGTGGATTTTTCTCCGGGTCCTCCGGTTTTTTCCTCCACATTTAGAAACGCGTTTTCAGTATTCGGGTGCTTTAAAATTCCACATGATGAGTCACTTTGTCAAGCTTTCAATTATGGCCATGGCTCTTCTAAAAAACGAGCTAAGTAACTCAGTGGGCCCTCCCTTGCCCTGTCTCTCATCATCTTCGCTGTAATATTCTTGGTTCTTTCGGTAAAGTCACGTAGAAGGGAAATAATAAAATAACAAAAATAAAACAATACAATTCTCACGACGTTTCGATTGCAACACAAGCAATCATCATCAGGTGTGAAAACCACAGCAAGCAATGTATTTTATTATTTCCCTTCTACGTGACTTTACCGAAAGAACCAATAATATGAATCCCTGCAGTCATGAAAGCTTTAAATCAAAAAATCTTCGCTGTCGTTATTTTTCCTTGTCGCAGATTTTTCTAAAAGTGGCAGAGGATCCGAGCCTAGAGACCGAACATAAAGGTGAGTTGGCCCGCCCCCCCCCCCCCGCATCCCCCCCCCACGTGGTTAAAATATAAATACAGCACGAGCCATAAACCTTCATCAGCGTTATCAGCCATGATCAATCCACTGCTGAATTAAGGCCTCACCAAGTCATCGCCATCTCTGTGACAATCCACCACCTAGCACTTGCACGTGAGCGGATTTCATCGCTCCATCTCCGAAAACCTGAATAGATATGTTAGCATTCAGCCCCCACTGACACCACCCCGGTGATTAGATGAAGTTCCACGATTCGGGGGGTCATGATTTAAATTATGAATCAATTATTTTTCGTTTCGCTATTACTATCTAATTTCTATCATTTCCTATCTCTCATTTATTCATTTTTTATTCAATTCACGAAGCCTGAATGCATCATCAGCATATCACTTGCATTCCGTTCGCATGAATCAAGAGTAATCGATTATCACACGCACAAATCAGTGTGTGTATTGTGAGCGTTCAAATCAATGTTACTTGATGAATCCATACATTGATGCACGCCCTGAACGTGAGCGATGTGTACTTTTGCTGGGACAGCCTCCTACCTTTGCTGCTACTGAAACAAACCAGGCAGAACAAACAGTACAGGATACACATGAGACTCACAGTACAGGTGAGACAGGCGTAGCAGGACAATACCGATCAGACGGACATCATAAAGTACAGATGGGAGACAACAAGTCAGTAGAGATGAGACGGACAGTACAGACAAGAGAAAGCAAGAGACATTTTAAATCGGCAAGCCAGTGACAATGAGACAATATAGAAGATACAATACAAACAAGACAGACAATGCAGACGAGACAGGCACTGCAGGCAAACACAGCACAAACGAGGTGAACGGTGTCGGTAAAACATCATACAAATGTGACAGGACAAGTGAGATAGGACAAGTAAGATGAAAAAAATAATGAAGACGAAAAGAGTTGTGATAATTAATGGAACCGTGAAGGGTTCCTGGTGGAGGAGGAAATCTGTTTTTAGCGAAGAACAGGCAAACAGACCATTCCATCAATGAAAGATTCTTGAGCACAGAGCAGATCGATAGTTGCACCAAGTGAGTCAAACGAGATTGATTGATCGATCGACAGGAGCGGAGAGAGAGAGAGAGTCAGATCGACATAAAACAATGGAGGTCAGAGAAAACACCGTTCGGGATGAGCATGTCCTCGTTGCAGATGAAGGTGTCTCCACGAAGGGCAGAGGGAGGTGGTGGAAGGACAAAAGCAGCCTCTCGCCCTCCAAGACGAAGGAGAACATGGACACTGAGCTGGGTGAGTGATGATGACGACGATGACGACGATGGTCCTGCCAAGCTTTCACAGAAGCGGGCGATGATTACTATGTATAATCCCCAATCGGGTAATTTGCCGGTCATTTTTTACATTTGCCAACTTTTAGACCATGACGCCGGCACACAATGACCCACGTTTAGCAATGACACCACAGGATCTCAAAGGTCCACTGTGAGTCAGACGGCACACATTTTTTTGGGCTATTGCCACAGTAATAATCTTGGCTGCCGCTGAATTAAAAACCGTGAACCTCTGCAACAGGCGTCGAACTCGCCACTGCTTGGCCATGTCATCATGAATGATTTTGATAATGATGGCAGTGATGATGATGATGATGATGTTAATGCTGCCAATGCTCTGCTGATGATGTTAACACTGATTACGATAACAATGATGCTACTGAAAATTATGCTACATGTTACTACTGATGATGGTAAGAATGATTCTGTCTCTACTGATAATAAAACATTAATGATCGTGATCGTTCTGTTGCAGCGAATGCTGCTGATGATGCTACTAAATAATATCATTGACCTTGCTGCTGCGACAACTAATGCTACAGTAACTGAACTTGCTGTCTTGACTATTGCTACAGCTGCTATTGATGTTGAAGAGATGCCTCTTGCACTGATTGTTCTTGCGCTTGTGTCATTTGTGGCTCACGTCAAGAGAGGAGACTGGAGGAGAAGAAAGCGAAACGGCAAAAAAAACGTGAGACTTTTTGTCTCAACGGCCATGAACTCTACAGACACTCGAGACTCTGGTTTCAGTATCGGAGTCTTGATTGAGAATAATTGAGACCGGGTTTCAAGATTGGATTCTGAGACTCAGGGAGACCAGGTTTTAGGATTATAGTCTGAGACTCAGGGAGACCGGGTTTCAGGATTTGAGTCTTGAGACTCAGGGAGACCGGGTGTCATGATCGGAGTCTTGATTGAGATTCTGTGAGGCCAGGTTTCAGGATTGGGGCCTGAGACTGAGGGAGACTTGGTTTCAGTATTGTATTCGTGGTTGAGACTCATTGAGACTGGGTTTGAGGAGGAGATTCTTGATGGAGACTCAGGATCGGTTCCTCAAACCCAGTCTCCCAGGATCACGGTCAAAACTCTTGTGATTGTATAGTTGTACTCTTTTTTTGTCCGGTAAAGTCACGTAGGTAAAAAATCTAATCAAATAAATGAAAACAACTAAATTTAATCACGACGTTTCGGACACAAGAAAAGCGTCCTTCTTCACGCTTGTGTTGCGCCCGAAACGTCGTGATTTAATTTAGTTGTTTTCATTTATTTTATTTTTTACCTACGTCACTTTACCGGAAAAAAAAACCAAGAGTATGAATCCTTGCAGTCACGAAAGCTTCAAATCTAGAATGTACCGTATCCCTTTTTGCTCTTCCATAACCCACACCTTTCGACTTGTGACACTTGACCCCGATGTAAACAGTGGACCCGGGAGGAGGCGGCACTGATCACAAGATCACTGGAGGAGCACTGTCATGGCAACAGTTCCGAGCGCTCATCATCAAGAGGTTCCATCACACGAGACGGAGTCGCAAGGGCTTCCTCTCACAGGTGACTGCGGTGATTGTGGTGGCGCCGATGGTCGTGGTAAAGACGGTCATGATGGTGCTGGTGATGACATTGCGATTTTTGGTGGTGATGATGATGATGGTGATATTGATGTTGATTCTTCTGATGATGGTGGTGGTGCAGTTGATGATGGGGGTGGTGAAGATGATGCTTCTCATAATGATATCACTGACTTTGCTGCTGTTCATACAGCTGCCAATTATGTTAGTAATAATTATATCATTACCTCAAAAACATCAGGATTACGTGTTGTTGGTGGTGATGATGATGATGATGAAAATGATATTGTCGATTGTGCTATAACCGTTGCTGCATTTAACAATGATGATACTTCTGCTTCTTCTAATGATGATGATGCTGCTGCTGATGATTCCAAGAATGATAATTGATATAAATAGGATTTAGCCCTGAATGTGATTACACTATGCATATAATTATTGTACAGCGTTGTGAGATGCAATTTGCATGAATGACGTTATAAAAAATGAAATTATGATTATTATTATGAACGATTTCACTAACTTTACTGCTGCTGATACACATGCTAGTGATGATGATGTCGCTAATAATATATCATGATATTGTTCTCCCAAAATCAACCGGCTACTCTTTCGTTGATGGCGACAATGATGATCACAGTGGTGGAATGCTCTGATGTTCTCTGCCGACCAAGTTATCCGTTGAAAAAAGCTTCTTAGCTCAATGGGCTTTACTCAGTTGCTGGTTTTTAACGACGACGATGATGATGATGACCATGCTGTGTGCAGATCATCCTTCCCGCCGTCTTCGTGTGTCTGGCTCTCGTCTTTACAATGATCGTTCCTCCGTTCGCCGATTACCCGGTGCTCGAGCTGCAGCCCTGGATGTACCCGGAGCAGTTCACCTTCTACAGGTCGGCGAGCGCCCGACGGCGAAAGCCAACACCACAACATCCGCACGCGTGCCCGCACACGCGTGGACATTCACATTAGTGAATAGTCTTCATAATCACCATCACGATCCATGGGCAGATGGTCCGTAGGTGTCCACTGCACATTCCGTTATTTTTGTTTCGACTTTCCTCTTCTACCAATATGCTCAAGTAGTGTCACATCTTTCTGGCACCAATCTCTGATGTTGTCAAGCCATCTGTGAGGTTTCTAATTAATAGTACATATATCATAGTAATGATCACAATTTATAGCCTTTTGACAATCATTTGCTGGATGAAGACCTCCCCCAGGCCACATTGATCATGTCGGGGTTGTTTGACCAAACTTCGCCATGCTGGTCAGTGTGGATTGATAAGAGGGAGAAGTGGGGTATAGCTGCTAATCTAGATTTATTTTACATCTAAATTGAAAACTAATTTATTTAGAACCACTTTTTGTGTTTAGCTTGTTGTCCTTCCTTGTTGTTGTCCTTCCTTCACACCTCTGATTAGCACGGTTGGCTACGTACAGTGCGAAAAAAGTTCAACATACATACAAAGAAGAGCCATATGTTATTTTGGTGATGCCTTCCTTTTAAAAGGAATCGGCCAAACATCTCAAAGGGTGGATTTCATAAGAATACTGCCATGTCCTCCCACACTAAGCAAGTTACAGTAATACTCCGGTTTACGTCAGGGATGCGTTCCTCCTGAAAGGTGTGATGAGTATCGAAACGACTTAAATTAAAGTAGTTTACTGGGTAGGTGGAGGCAAAGGCCGAGGCAACGGATACGAGAAAGGACGGATGATGCTGTCAGTGACGAGGGGGTTGAGGCGATGCAAATCATAGTCGTGGTCTAAAGCGGTTAAAGGGGGAGACGTAAATTGGGGTATTACTGTACTTCTGAAAAATATATTTACATGTATGTTGAACTTCTTTTGCACTGTACATAGCCAACTGTGCTAATCGGAGGTATGGGGAAGGAAACAAACTAAACACAAAAAGTAGTTCTACGGAAATGAGTTTTAAATCTAGATGTAAAAGTGCTTAGCTCCAGTGGCTTCCTAATATTGGAAGGAAGAGCATTCCAGAAGGCCGCAGAAGGCCGCATCTGAAAGCGTGCGATGGATCATCTTTGTTAAAGACCCAACCAGGGCAGGAGGACCCTCCTGAATAACCATCTTGAGACTCACCGAGGCTCTCATGGGAAAAAATATTCCACATTGTTGATGATTGTTTTTGTGTTTTGTTTAACGACTTGGTAAAACTTTTCCCATATATTTGCAGCGATGATGCCCCCAACGACCTGACAACGCAGAAGCTTGTCGCCGCAATCCTAGACCCACCCGGGCTCGGCACGCGGTGCATGATGGGATACAGCATTCCGTGAGTACCCACCGCCACGGCACACCTGCAGTCACGTGGCTGAGGGGTTCATAGTGGCCATGTCAGAGGCACCGAGTGAACACCGCCCAGACTCTTCGAATCTGGGTTTTAGCCACCTGTGATTAATGGTCCAAATTACGTCTCACATCTACGTATGTTTTCTAATGTATGTGTTGCTATCAGTGTAATTCCAAATATGCACGTCTCCATGCCTCTTAATCCAGTGACACTCTCTGATCCACATTCTTTGTCATCAGGCAGTGCTTATGACAAATATAGCCACAATCCTGAAGGCATTGAGGGCTGGTGATATCAATTAGCCAAGCTGTTGTTGGAAACATTATCCGTGCGTTTATGTGGCACGTCATTTTTTATTTTATTCCACAAATTAAAAACTCATATTTTACAGGAACCTTCCATGCCAACCTCGGATGCCCGTGTGGGAGACTCCTCAGGCATCTCAAGCTGCCTTGGACGCCCTAAATGAGGGCAACTGGACATTCGAGGACCCCTCCCCGAGCTGCCAGTGCAGCACTCTGGAGCGCCTCACCATGCTGCCTGATTGCCCGCCGGGAGCCGGAGGACTGCCACCCCCACAGGCAAGACGAGGTTTAGCCGAGTCTTCAGCTAAACTACGGCCCTCTTAATGAAGGCCTCTATTGAACTCCCTTCTCAATATTTGCCTCCTGTGTTCAGATGATTGTCCTCATAATTGAACCTCGTCCTACCCGTGTCTAAACGGAGAGGCATGTCATGAGTCACCCCTCCACCCTACGTCATGATTAATTGCTTTCTCAGGATACAGAGACACGATTAGGTTCAAGAATCTATTCTGTTTTGTCTCATCGGTATTGTCTATCCCTTGTGTTCCATCAGTCTTATCCGTACTGTCTTGTTCCGTCTCGTTTGTATTGTTTTTTTCCGTCTCGTTCCAAAAGACCACAGAGTATGAACACCATATCTCTGAATGCAACTCAATAACCAAACGCGGTGCATTGTGGGAGACAGCGCTTCAGCGGGGTCACGAGTTGCGGTGCACCATGGGAGCCGCGGCGTCTTGCTCAACAAGAGTCGGTGTGCGACAGGGAGCGTGATACCCACGGTTGAGGTCTCTTTCACCGTTTCCCCTCCCTCTCAGATGCTGCAAAGCACCACGGACACCCTTCAGAACCTGACCGGGAGAAATATTAGTGACTATCTCGTAAAGACCTACGCCGGCTTCATAGAGAAGAGGTTTGGCACTCACAAAGCATATGTCCTCATGCGGGAAATAATAATTTGCATTTGTATGGAGAATATAAATAACAAAATAAGTAAGAAGACAATATGTCTCCTTCATCTATCCGTCTCTCTGCATGAATAATGAAAGTATTTCTTACAACAGCAATCATCTACACGGCCTTCTGGGACAGCATCATCTCAGCAGTGTTGTTTCAATACAAGCAAACTATGGATCGATTTTATGTATCCATGTTGTTCAACTTTTTTCACACTATACATAGCTAACCGTGCTAATCGGAGGTGCACGGGAAGGACAAAAAAGTAAACATAGAAAGCAGTTCTAAAGAACTTCGTTTTCAATTTAGATTTAAAAGCGTGGCTTCATAATATCGGAAGGAAGAGCATTCTAGACAGCCTGAGAAGCACATCTGACAGCACGCGATGCAGTGACCGTCTTTGTTTGATGCTTATCCAAAAAAAAGTAAACTGTAGCAGTCTTTTAGTTTAAACATATAGTGTATCATCAGCAGAGTAAGGCTTGCTTGCTTGCTTGAATCATGATCTTGATTCAGGATCAATAAAAAACATGTAAGGACTCAAAACAAAAAATTTCCGACAATATTTTGCTTGTTGGCAAAACATGTGACGAGGGCTCAAAAGGGATCTTGAAGGCTCAGCGAAGTATAAGAAAATAATTTCCAAATGAGTGAAATAATTGGCAAAAAGGTAAAAAGCCAACAAAGATTGTTTTGATAGAAGTGGCTTTGTAATCCATTGTAAAAAAAAAACCCACACAGGGCCAACAAAAGTGTAGTGGGTTCAACTGAGTCGCAGACTTACTCTTGGAGGCAACACATTTATTTAACACCAACACACGGGGTAACTGCCCCTTAACAAAATAACAACCTATGGTGGTGACCACCAGGCAAACTACAATAATTACAACGTAACTGCTACATTGGACCAGACCACAGCTGGGGTCCAGGTCCACGTGTTGGAGACTCTGTAGGACGAAGAACGTAGACGAAGGTTTCTGCAGGATGAACAACAACGCCGGTCCCTTTGGGGGACCCGGCTTATATCCTCTGCGGCGTGGCTGGCCCCGCCCTTGGCCACGACCACCTTCAGAATCCTCGAGCAGGATCTGAACCCCGACCACGTGACCACCCCTAGCCCCCACTTGGGGGCCCTTTGTAGACTTAACCGGTCACGTGTCCTCTCATGTCAACCAGAGTGCCATGGCCTTCAGTAACCTCATTCTTACAGCCGGCACTTCCACACCCTATCCTGTAGGGCTGGCACTACACGCCAAGCGTGGTGCCATCCAGCGCTATCACTCAGCGCTGACCTGAGCCCCTCTAGGGCCGGTACTACATCCACATCTTAGTGGTATCCACAATGCCGTTACATCGCACGCCGTGCCTCTCTGGGGCCGGCACTGTACAGTGACATCCCGTGATGTCACTACAAAAGCATTGTAAAAGGGTATTCATACAATTCACCATTAGCTTCATTGGCAAACTTGTACAGTGGCCTACAAACGATTGTGGGTGCAAAGTTACGTCAAACATTTCAGAGCAAATTGTCTCACCGCTCGGACGTGAAACGACGCTCATATCTTATGGTGCCACTGGAGCTGACAGTGGAACTTCCACATCTCAATGGAGGGCAGTCCATCTCTCGGGATCACCAGTTCTTTGTGCTTAATTGCACATTACCACTTTACACTTTGGTTTGCCTAATGTGTTGTTTGTTTATTTCCCTTTTTTATTCCATTGCTTCAGCCTAAAGAGGAAATATTGGGTCAACGAGCCGAGGTGTGAGCTTGTAGTATCGCAGTCCTTTAGTGTTTAAAGCCATAGTAGAATTATCTACCCTACCCCCCCCCCCCAGTATTCTTTTGAGAAGTGGTATAGCCCTGTCCAGCTCCCTTCACCTTCACCCTCTCTTCCCTGTGTAAAGGATGGTACGGTCCTATTTAATGCGCCCTAAGGTGCAATAGTGCCCGCCCTCAATGAGCCCCAGGTGGTGATGAATTACACGCTCCTGTGACAGAGCTGAGTGTGTGAGTCTGGCTAAGTAGGACACCTGCATCATGACAGCGGTGGGCAGATGATATTAATGATGGATGATGGTGGTCATGATGATCATCACAATAATTATAATGAATAGTATCATCATTTTGATGATGATGATGATGATGATAGTAATTAATTATAATAATCGTGAAGATAATATTAATGGGTGGTTGATGATTGATCATGATAATGATGGTGTTGATGGTGGTGATGATGATACTGCTGCTCATGCTACTGCTGATGATGCTTCTGATGATACTGCTGCTGCTACAAATGCTGATACTGACGCTGCTGCTACAAATGGTCGCAACGATGACCATGACGACCCTGATGCCAGCGACACATCGCAGTAGAGTTGACCCCGACCAAGAGTCCAACCCTAGAGTCCGCGAAACCTGTGAAATCCATGTGACCGCCCTGACTCAAGTCGGTATCCCTCCCAAGGTACGGAGGCTTCTCGCTAGGCCAGAAGAACGAGCAGAGCGACGTGAACGCCACGGCACTGAGGAGGCTGTTCCAGCAGGCGGGGGGGTTCCTTAACATCACAGCCGTGAGTGGCACGGATACCGAGACATAGCACGCACGCTGACACTCGCTCTCATGGTACGACTAACACTGCCACACTAACACGCACACTAGACGACACAACACTCGAACACTAATGCTTGCCCTGACACTAACCAAGCATGACCACGAGCCCTGACACTAATCCTAGCACTAGCTTCAACGCTCGTGCTAGCCCTGATACTTAACACTTATATAATTATAAGCCCAACACATTGTTGTCCCTTCCTAGCAACTCCGATTAGCATGGTTGGCTACGAACGGTGTGAAAGAAGTTCAACATACAAACATACAACACTAACCCGGACACTCCCGATATCTCGGATTCTAACATTCATGAACATAACCTATTCCCAAGCAAATACCTAAACTATAACACTGATAATAACCATTGATTTGACACCAATCCACACAGGGGAGAGATTGGTAAAGGCTGGGCTCGTATCAGGATTAAGGGTTAGGATTATGGCTACAGTTAGTGGTTCATGTGTGAGTTAGGACTGTTCGTCACGAGTAAATCTAGTAGGTAGGTTATTCGTTGGGTTAAGCTCAATACTTTTTACATAAATTAAACTGCAATATTATGCTGATAAATTAAAGATTCTGATATTAACAATGTTGAATATGATCGCAATGATGTTGATCTTCGTGATGGTGATGATAGTAATGATGATTCTGAGATAATCTGCTACTAATGATGACGATTCAAAGACAATCATAATAAACGTGAAGATGATCATAATGAATCAAAGACATTAATGATGATGATCGTGTCACATTTGTAACCTTTTCAGGGCCCAGCGACAGAGGAAGCCTCACGTAACCTAGAGGGCTTCATCCAGGCCCTTGGGCCTACTGACAACATTAAGGTGAGATGAGGGTCACAACTATGAACATATTCTATACATTCTGCATTGTTTTGCAGCAGCATGAGTAAAATATAAATAGATCAGATGACCGACAGGCCGCTGGTATTGGATGAAAACTCTTGACAAGGAAAAACCTGGTACTCTTATCAAAATACAATAAAAGCAATAAAAAAAAATAACCTTTGACGATTGCTACATTTTATGTGAAAATTATTCCATGAACAACAAACGTGGGAAATGATTTACAGTTTCACCTCTGTCCTCCGCGTGCAGGTTTGGTTCAACAACAAGGGCTGGCACGCCATTGTCGCCTTCATCAACGTCGCGAGCAACGCGGTGCTGCGAGCGCGGCTGCCCGAGGGTCAAGACCCGCGTCGGTTCGGCATCACGGCCTACAGCCACCCGCTCAACCTCACCAAGCAGCAGCTCACCGAGGTCGCCATGTGAGTTGCCCCTCCCGGCGTCGCAAACCAAAAATGTTTTATTACATCGCAAGATTTGAACGGAAAGAATAAAACAAGAAATACCCCTGTTCTCACCATCTCCCTGTGTCTCTCCCATCACCTTCCCGTGTCTTCCTCCTATTTGTGTCCATCCTCCCCCGCATCTCCCTGCACCTCCCCACGTTGTCTCCGTTCACTTCCCCACATCTCGCGTCTCACTCCCACGTGCCCAGGCTGACGTCGTCGGTGGACGTGATGGTTGCCATCTGCGTCATCTTCTCCATGTCCCTCATCCCGGCGAGCTTTGTGGTGTTCCTCGTCCAGGAGCGGGCGTCCAACGCCAAGCACCTGCAGTTCGTGAGCGGTGTCAACGCCTACGTTTACTGGCTCGCCAACATTACCTGGGACATGGTGCGCATTCGCGAGGGAACACTGTGCACCCTTCACTGGGACTCCAGGCCAGAGATCGCAACCGGGTACCCGATACCCGTACCCTACCCGATACCCGGCTACCCGTACCCGGCCGGGTACGGGTAGCCCGTGAGTCACTGGCGAGTCACTGGCGAGTTACCGTTTGTCACTCATTTCGAGTAGGGTACGGGTACGGGTAGGGAACGGGTACCCGTACCCAGCCGGGTACGGGTACCCATTTGCGACCCTGGTGCGGCCGGGTACGGGTACGGGTAAGGAATCAAAACCCGTTTGCGACCTCTGCTCCAGGCTGGGCCTGAATACTGACACTGAAATGTTAACATTGCCTTTGGCTGCGTGAGTCTCGGGCATCAACACTGAATTCTAATAGTCCTAAAAGTGCCACGGCTGGCTCTCTAAGTCTTAGACGTTAACACTGAGCAGTGAGAATTATCATGGTCAGCGACGGTAAGTCCACGACTGGATAAATGCCTCCTCAAGCCGCCACCACGTCTCACCATTCTAAAGTGTAATGATATAGTAATGGCTTATTGTCCCTGGTGGTGCTTATCCGCTCTGAACATTTACAATAGCCTGGCACTTGATCCCAATAAAAAAATATTCAAACAAAAGGGTATGACCAAGTGAGGAGATATTATCCGCGAACGCACAGGCACCTCATCAGTAAATAATTCCCATTGAATCTTACCAGGCTACCCACTGATGGGGTGTATATGAAATCACACTACCTGTGCACTAACAGCAGAGGCTGTCGTAATGGACCGGTTTGACCGTGTTGTTTTACAGGTAATAAGTATAACCCGTAAAAACAAAGTTTTTCACTATAAATCCTTTATATGCGTGGCGGCTAGAGTCCTCTCGTCCTTTGGCTTGAGATGGCTGCCACCTATGGGTCAGATGATTGTCTGCCAGTATTAAGCAATTGGTAATTAAATATTTAATTTGTTTTCCCTAAACAGTGTAACATTTTGGAAAAAGATTTTCACGAACATTAATTGTCTCACACAACGAGTCTGTGTGCAAAATGTCAGCTCGATTGGATCACGGGAAGTGGGTTAAAAAACGACCGAAAGATTTGCACGGTCGTAAGCAAGCAAGCAAGCACGCAAGCAAGCAAGCGAACTTAATATAAAGGATTTAAAAACAACAGTTCCACACTGCCCACCAGGGATGTCTGTCGTGCAAAGCCATGCCCTCGATTTGTATTTCACGTGACGCGGATCGCACGAATGCGCCGTCCAACCAAGTTCCTACCTGCCCACTCCGAAGGAACGTGTTAATTGCATTTTGTTTCTCGATGCCCCCCTCCGCCCCCCCCACCCACCTCACTTCACAGTGCAACTACATTCTGCCGGCGATCATCGTGGTGGTCATTTTCCTGAGCTTCCAGCAGAAGGCCTACGTGTCCGATCGCAACTTGCCGGCCCTCATCCTCCTGCTGCTGCTCTACGGGTAGCTCTTCTCTCGTAGCTGCACCCCACAGATGTGTGCCTTAGACAATGAGGACGCCACGGTGGCTAAGAGATGTCATCTCCCTCGTCTGGTGTGCAGGAGGTCGTGGGTTTGATCCCGACCCTGAGTATTTGGCTGCTATAAATTTGCACTGATAAGTCTCTTTGTTGAGCTGTCATTTGTGGCCAGATAGCTTCTGAAAAATAAGGTAATAGCCCAGTGAGGTTATACCTGGTAAAATAAATATTGTTTAAATTTCGATTTAAAGCTTTCGTGACTGCAGGGATTCATCTTCTTGGTTCTTTCGGTAAAGTCACGTAGAAGGGAAGTAATAAAATAATAACAATAAAATAATTCTCACGACGTTTCGGCCAGAACGCAAGCAGCCGTCTCCCCGCAAGCAGCCGTCTCCCCGACAGACCTGGTCTTCACCTGAGGACGGCTGCTTGCGTTGTGGCCGAAACGTCGTGAGAATTATTTTATTGTTATTATTTTATTACTTCCCTTCTACGTGACTTTACCGAAAGAACCAAGAAAATATTGTTTAGTTTTATTTGTATTTTTTTGTGATTTGCTTACTATTCCTATACTTTGCACTTTTATCGTGTTTTTATTGTTTGTTGTAACATTCTCACCCCCCCGACAGGACATCTAGCTCATAGATTTCTCCAGTGTAAATAAATATTCCGATTCCGATTATTTATTTAGCCAATGCTTTTATGCGTGACTTTCACAGTGACAGCACCAAATACGCGAGAACGATCGATATTTAAATAAATACTGGGCACTGACAAGGAGGCACAACGAGAATGCTGATCCAATGCTTCTCGACTTGACGAACCACGATGGCCGTCGCACGCCCGACTCCCGCACCGTCACGCGTGTGCGACTGTCGGGTGAGTGCAGACATAGCAGCTGCTGCTGCTGTATGTACGTAGCCAGTCGTGCTAATCGGAGGTGCGGTGGGAAGGACAACAAACTAAACACAGAAAGGAGTTCTAAAATAACGGGATTTCAATCTTGATTTAAAAGTGCATAGCTCCAGTGGCTTCTTAAAATGGGATGGAAGAGCATTCCAGACGGCTGCAGAAGCACATCGGAAAGCGCACGAGCGGCGACCGTCTTTGTTAAAGACCCAACCAAGGCAGGAGGACCCTCAGAGAAAGACATTTTCTGAGTAAGAATTAAAACAAAAGAATGGTATAGATGAGTGGTTTGAGGCGTAAGAATACAATTTAATTTTCTTGAGTAGAGTCGATGAACCACTGCACCCGTCACAGGCCCCACTCCCGTACTGTCACACGTGCGCGACTGCCGGACGTAGCAGCAACTGCTGCTGATACTATACGTATGCACGTATGCACGTATGCATGTTGACCTGCTTTCACACAACGCACGTAGCTAAACGTGCTAATCAAAGGTGTGTTCCCAGGTGGTCGATCACGCCGCTCATGTACCCGGCCTCCTTCGTGTTCACGGTGCCCAGCACGGCGTACGTGGTGCTGACGTGCGTCAACATGTTCATCGGCATCAACGGCAGCATGGCCACATACATCCTGGAGCTCTTCAACGGCGACGAGGTGAGAGGGGGACGAGCCGACTTCCTCCTCTCCGATACGGCGTCATTGTCGCCGTCCTCTCGCTCCCCTCCTCTCGCTCTCCTCCTCCACGCGAACGAGTGGCATTCACTCTCGCTGTCTTCTGAAGGCGGTAGCAGCAGCTGGGTTCACAACTGAGACGCAGATACATAGCTGCCGCTACTCTCAACTCACATGAAGAACCATGAGGGACCCAGGGGGAAGTGACCACGTCACGTCTGTATTATGTGAGTCAACTGCCATTCTCTAATCACACAGGCAGCAATCACTGCTGCATGTTAAGCCTCTTTCCTTCAACTCTCCTCCCAGAGGAGGTTGGGTGGCTCAGAGGCGCTGACCTGGCACCTCTTGAGACGAGACTGGCGCTGAATATAAATGCCAATGGGGGCGGTGGACGTCTAAGATTCTATTGCCGGAGTGGCAGAGAGGTTCAGAGGTTGGAGAGCTGAGCTGGTACCAGGTTGGTTGGAAATGCAGCCCATCTGTGAATAAAACTAGGTGCTCGAGTCTAGCGAGATTGCCCACACGGTAACCATCTTATCATATTTGTTTCATGCTTAATTTGGTTAAATTTCAACTCTGAGCATTAAAAATATTGATTTGACCATCTCCCAGTGTCTCCCTTATGTCCCAACTTGTTTCTCCATGTGCCTCGCTGTCTCACCGTGTCTTCTCGTGAGTGTCTACGTGCCTCCCGTGTCTCCCCAGCAGGTATGCACGTCTCCCACTCTCCGTGACTTTCCGTGTCTCATTGGCATTTCCCCTACATCTCTCGTCACTCCCCAATATTGTGCCCGTGTCCCCACGTCTCTCTCCACGTCTCCCTTGTATCTTCTCACCTCTGCCCCTTGTCTCCTCCCCTGTGTCTCGCTCACTGTGTCTCTCCGCGTTTCTAAACATCTCCCTCCGTGTCTGTCCGTGTTTCTCCGTGTCTCCGCAGACTCTGACCCGCATCAATGACATCCTCAAGTCGGTGCTCCTCATCTTCCCGCACTTCTGCCTGGGACGAGGACTCATAGACATGGCGACCAACCAGGCACTGGCAGACGCGTCCGAGCGCTTTGGTAGAGACGCAGAGACAGACACAATTATACTAAAATACACGCTCAGACATACACAGACATATGCATAAGTCTGCACACAGACATACATACAAGACACATAGATATACACACATAGACATACAATGATGTACACACTTGCAGGCCGATATCATGCACATACATTGTCTCATGCTGTTTCTCTCCTATCTCACTGGGTCTCCTTCATGTCTACCCCAATCTCTGTATCTCTCCACGTCTCCCATTTCTCCTGTTTCTCCCTGCATCTCTTCGTCTCCCTGTGTCTCCCTGCATCTCCCCGTGTCACCCCGTGTCTCCCCGTGTCTCTATCTCTCCTTATGTCCCCTTGTTTCTCTCACATCTCTCTGTGTCTCCCCATGTCTCTACGTGTCGTCACGTGTCTCACCCATCTCCCTGTCTCCCTGTGTCTCCCCCCTCTCCGCGTGTCTCCCCATGTCTCACATTTTCTCCCCGTGTCTCCACTCAGGTGAGAGCCGCTTCAGGGAGCCGCTGTCGTGGGACATGGTCGGCAAGAATCTGGTCGCGATGTTCATCGAGGGCAGCGTCTTCATCGTCCTCACGCTGCTCATCCAGAAGAACTTCTTCATCCGCCCACGGTAACATAGCCGCCGTGTTACGTCTGAGCGCTCCTAGGGGTTGCCCGGTACACGCCCCATCTGTTCACCCCCCCCCCCCTCCATGCCCCTCACCCCATACCCTGGTAACTCGCTTAGTCGTCGATGGTTAAACAAAGGAGGTGGCATTGAATAAGAGGATGCAGCTTTGTGGGGGCGATCACAATAGGTTACATACAGGAAATGTCCTGCTGGAAATGATGGTAGTGGTGATGATGGTGAGCGATGATATTGTTGATGGTGGTAATGGTAGTGGTGATGATGGTGGTGGTAGTATTGATGATGGTGGTGATGTTGTTGATCGTGGTGACTGCAATGATCGTATATCGTTAGTATCAGTGATGTTGTTGATGTTGATAATGGTGATGTTGATGACTGTGATGTTATTCAGGTCGATGGAGCTGAATCTGCCTCCCATCACGGACGAGGATGTTGATGTTGCTGCGGAGAGGAAACGTGTGATGGAGGGAGACACATCAACAGACATCCTCACCATCAACGAACTCACAAAGGTGACATCACCACCACCATCAGACAGCAGCATCACCATCACCACCACCATCACCACGGTGTTGATGTTGGTTTTGTTTTAGGTTTATAAGAAGAAAGGTGCTCCAGCTGTGGACAGGATGTGCATTGGGGTGCGACCAGGAGAGGTGAACTTACACATTCACCCGACACACCCTACACACACACCATTCACACTTACACACTCACCCTACACACACACGCTACACACTTACACACTCACCCTACACACACACCATTCACACTTACACACTCACCCTACACACACACGCTACACACTTACACACTCACCCTACACACACACCCTACACACTTACACACACACCATACACACCCTACACACTCACCCTACACACTCACCCTTCACACTTACACACTCAGTCTACGCACACACCCTACAAACGTATACACATACCGTTATACACCGTCCCTTACACACACTCGTTTTTACACACACCCACTTACATGAGAGTTGTGGTTCATTGGTTTGCTCATTATTGGATTGTAGATTATTGTATTTGTGAATAATGGGATATGCAGATGACTGGAATTATGAGAAAGGAATTTTCAGAAAATTAGAATTGCACACGAGTCGGCGACAATAATATTAGCAGAAAATCATATTCAGATTGCAAATCATTATATGTGCAGATAATATGTGCAAATAATGAGTTTCTGGTTTGCGGATAATTGGATTTGTGAATAATGGGTTCGCAATTTACGGATAACGCGGTTTTCTGATAATGGGTTTGCGATTCGCGAATAATCAGATACGTGGATAATGGTTTTGCAATTTGTGCATAATTGGGTTCGTGGTTTACGAGTTTCCGATTTGCGGATAACGGGGTTGGCGGATAACGGGGCTTGGTGGATAAAAGGGTTGGCAGATAATGGGGTTGCGTTTGTTGGGCTGCCCAGTGCTTTGGGCTGCTGGGCGTGAACGGTGCCGGCAAGACGAGCGCGTTCCGCATGCTGACAGGCGACACGCACGCGACGGCCGGGGACGCACGCCTCGAGGGCTACAGGTGAGTTCAGTCTGAGCCCACCTAGAGGCAGAACAGTTCGAAGTGCGCGTGTGTGCGTGAATGGGGGCAGCGGCGCCGTGGTTTGCGCGCTGCGCTACGAAGCCCTCAATCACGTGAATTAAATAAATCTGGTTTGCTGCATCTAAGTGTATATGGGATTGTGTGTGTACATACTGTATATGTATTTGTGGGTGAACGCATGTGTCCATGTTTAATGCATGTATGTGTGTATGAATATATGAATGGGGAGTGGTGGCGCAGCAGTTAGCGTGCTGCGCTACGGACCCAGTGACCCGAGTTCGAATCCCGCTCACGGCCAACACCATCTGAACCGGACCTGGGCCTCCTCGAGTTCCACTCAACCTTAAATGAGTACCTGGTGCAGTGTGTAAACATCCACACTGGAGAAATACAGGCGGCCGGTACAGTGTTGGCTACCACCCCCCCCCCCCCCTCGTGCGCCGTGGTGGCCTTGATAGGTGCTCGCTAACAGCACTCGCCCCAACAGTCCGTTAAAGGCAATACGGGGGGGGGGGGGTCTTCGTCTTTGTGCTTGGTGCAGCATTCTGTCTCAGCTGAGCTCGGTTCAGAGCCACCTGGGCTACTGCCCCCAGTTCGACGGGACCGATGAGCTGCTCACGGGCCGGGAGCACCTCCAGCTGTACGCTCGCTTGCGCGGGGTGAGGGAGGACGACCTCGAGAGGGTGAGCACGCTGCCACCATTGTCCTTAGCGTCATCTTCATCATCACCACCGTCCTCACCCTCAACAGCATTGCCCTCACCATCAACAGCATTGCCCTTCCTCTCACCATCATCGCCATCATCCTCACCATCAACACCATCATCCTTATCATCACCATTGTCCTTATCCTCATTATCACCACCACCACCACTATTGTCCTTACTCTCATTACAACCTCCATCGTCCTAACACTCATCATTGCCATCATCCTTACGCTCATCATCAACATGTGTGGCAACAATTCGAACCTCCCATAGGTCGACTCATCCTCAAATGAGTACCTGGTGGAGTGTGTAATCAGCGCCACTGGGGAGACAAAGGCGGTCGGGCATGGTGCTGGCCACCCACCCCCTCGTGTACCGTGCCAGCCTTCATAGGTGCTGCTCGCTAACAGCACTTGCCCCACCAGTCTGTGAAGGCCACACACACGAGGGATCTTTGTCTTTGTTGTGCGGCGCTGTAGGTGGTTGACTGGGCGGTGTCCACGCTGGGCCTCATCTACATCGCCGATCGTTCCGCCGGCTCATACAGCGGAGGCAACAAGCGCAAGCTCTCCACCGCCATCGCTCTCATCGGCAACCCTCCCCTCGTCTTCCTGGTACCAGCCATTATGAACCTCACGAGAGAGGCGGATGCAGGGAGAGAGAGACACAGCGAGTGCGAGGATTCGGATCAGGATTCGAACTCAGGGTCTCAGCGGTGCTGGCTGGCTCAGTGCTTGACATGGTCATTACAAACCTTGTTTGGCCACTGTACTGTAAACCGAATATGGCTATTGTTAACCGAACAGCAGTATTAGCCAGAGCCAGCTTTTACGAAAGTAACACGGTTAGAATGAACCCAACACGGCCGTCACAAACGTAACACGGCCGGTGATGAACCCAAGACAGCCATCGCGGACGTGACACGACCATCACAAACCCAACATGGCTATTTTGAATCCGACATACTCCTGGGATGGACGCCAAGACCGAGGGCTCAAACCCAGAAAGTCAGCAAAGGCCATTGTGAATGATCAGTGTGTGATCCTGACATGGCCATTGTGAGCCTGCTCCAACCATTATGAACATCTGGTAACGTTTGTCTTTACCTGTGTATCCATAGTTCAGTGTTCATGTGCCATTTTATTGAGGACCTGTGCGTTATCTTGGCGTGGTCTGGGGTTGCTTTTACTGCTTTGTCCAAGCTTGATAATGAATTAATGTATTATGCTTTTATATTTAGTGACTTGCTTTGCGCTTTTTCCCTAAATTGCACTCATATAATTATTTTGTATTGTTTGCTGCTGTAACTTGCCGACCCCCCCCCCCCTCACTGGACATCTATGAAAAAGAGCTTCATAGCTCATCGGATTCCTCCTGCAGTCGAAATAAACATTCTGGTTCTGATGACCGTGTGCAGGATGAACCCACGACGGGCATGGACCCCAAGGCTCGGCGCTTCCTGTGGAACTGCATTCTGGCCATCGTGCAAGCGGGCCGGTCGGTGGTGCTCACATCTCACAGGTACCGCGAGTGGCAGCAGCAGCAGCGGGTTTGCATGTTGGAGTTTGTGGTGTCTCTCTGTCTCTCCCTCCGTGGTGGTCGCGTGGATTTTATAATCGACATCACGCGCTTAAGGTGTTTGGCCGCGATAAATGTTCACGTGATAAGTGAACACCATGGGTGGGGGGGGGGGGGGACTGGGTGATCCGTGGAAATGTGGTTCGCGGGCCAAAAAGATTTGAAAAACACTGCTCGAGGGATCTGTGTCTTTGTGTATATATATGTGTATACGATTATGTGAGTGTACCAATGTGTGTATGTGTGTACACGTGTGTGTGTGTGTGCAGCATGGAGGAGTGCGAATCTCTGTGCACACGCATGGCCATCATGGTGAGCGGAACTTTCAGGTGCCTGGGCAGCGTCCAGCACATTAAGACACGGTGAGCATACACACCCACACAAGTAAATACACACACACACACACAGAAGTACATACACACACAGAGAGAAGTACATACACACAGAAGTACATAATACACACACAGAAGTACATACACACACAGAAGTACATACACACACAGAGAAGTACATACATACACACACAGAAGTACATACACACACAGATAAGTACATACACACAGAAGTACATACACACACAGAAGTACATACACACACAGAGAAGTACATACACACACAGAGAGAAGTACATACACACACAGAAGTACATGCACATACATACACACACAGAAGTACATACACACACAGAAGTACATGTACATAGATACACATACATACACATACACACACACAGAAGTACATGGACGTACATGCACATACAGGCAGTCCCCGACGTGTCTCAGGAATGGAACCTGTTCGTTCGTCGGGAAATACCCGTGCACACACAAATACATGTACATGCATGCACACACAGACACAAATATATTATATACATACGAAGAAAAAGATCCCTATAGCCGACTATTAGGACAAGTGCTGTTAGCGAGCACCTGTGAAGGTTGACACGACACATGGGGGGGGGGGGGGGGGTGCGGTGCGTGACCAGCACCACTCCGCACCAGGTACTCATTTGAAGCTGAGTCGACCGAGGGGAGGCCCAAGACCGGTTCAAATAACCATCACCGGTGTTGGTGGCCATGAGCGGGAATCAAACTCGAGCTGCTCGGTTCGTAGCGAAGCGCGCTATCCACTACACTCGCGATAGCCTTTAAACAGTCTGTTGGGGGCGAGTGCTGTTAGCGAGCACCCATTAAGGCGGGCCCAGAACACACACGTACACACATGTACACAAATAAACAAGTTGCCACTATTTCCTACGAAGCTGATGCGGTGCTTGTGCCAGGCTAAGTGAACCACGATGTCAGGTGGACTCGACAACACTCACTGTTCCTACCCCTTCCTCTCCCGTTGACCGTAGCTTTGGCGAAGGACACACTCTGGTGATACGGCTCGCTGCTGCCACTCCTCCTGCTGCTGCTGCTGCTGCTACCGCGGATCCTGCTGCCGCAGATACCGCCGCTGCTACAGCTGCTGATCCCGCTACCGCTGTGGCGGAGTACGTGTGCAAGCGATTCCCACGCACGGAGTTGCGCGAGCACCACCACCGCACCATGTACTTCCACTTGCCGGGCGCCACCACGACTCACGGCGCCTCTGCGGGTGACACCGCTGCGGCCTCCGCGTACGCCTCTCTCTCCACGATCTTCGCGGCGCTATCAGAGAACCAGCAGCAGCTGGGCATCGCCGACTTCTCCGTGTCGCAGACCACGCTGGACCAGGTCAGAACGCGTGACAGGTCACTGGCTCACCGGCAATCGATGCTAGCCAGTTGCAGCAGGAGGAGCTAGCTGACAGGAGTTCGTTAACCGCAATAGAAGCTTGCCAGTTGCAAAAGCAGCTACCTAACAGGAGCGAGTTAATTGCAACAGATGCTAGCCAATTGCAAGAGGAGCTAACAAGCACTAGCTAACCACAAGACACCTAGCTAATGCAACTGGAGCTAACAGTCGCTAGCTCACTTCTACAGGCGCTATCTAACTGCAAGATACCCGAGCTAACCACCAAAACGCACGCGCTAACCGCGACAGGTGCTAGCTATCTTCTTGGTTCTTTCGGTAAAGTCACGTAGAATGGAAATAATAAAATAATAAAAATAAAACATAATTAAATCATTCTCATGACGTTTCGGCCACAACGCAAGCAGCCGTTCTCAGGTGAAGAACAGGTCTGTCGGGGAGACAGCGTCTGAATGAAACACCACCACGCTTGGAGCGTATATTTAAGCTGGGTTGGAAGGTGGGAAGGTAGCCTTGACAAAATAATTTGCATATCAAGAGGAATTTAGCATATTTATGGGAAATGCAGATATGTGATTAGTACTAGCTAGCTAGCCAGGATAGATGCGAGCTAATCGCAGTGGGCCCTCGCTAACCGCAACAGGTGTTAGCTTACCGCAAGAGGTGTTAGCTTACCGCAACAGGTGCTAGCTAATTTGAACAGGTGCTAGGTAACCGCAGTGGGCGCTAGCTACCCGTAGCACGGTTGGCTATGTATGGTGCGAAGAAGTTCAATATACGAACATACAATGGACCCAAGCTAACCGCAACCGGTGGCAGCGAACCACATTCAACAGACTGCCTAATTGACTGTCGATGTGCTTTACCAAGTTGCGTATTAACCGAGTGACTGCCTGCCAAAGTGAATGACTGCCTCGCTGTATAAACGCCTACAGTAATTGTAATATATCCCCACCGGTTCTGTTCAGCGTCTTGAGACGCAGTCACATTCTGTTGTATGAAGTGACTGTCCGTGTAACTTTCCCAATGTGATCGTTCACCTCTGCCCGCCCAGGTGTTTGTGAGCTTTGCCAGGCAGCAGCGGACCGACCCAGTGGATGAAGAGACAGGGGTGTGATCCGACTCCACCACCTTCCACCAAGCCGGAGAAGGGGCACTGGCAGAGCCAGTGGAGGGGTGGACGTTATTATGAGTAGGCATGGAACGATTGGGTGGAGGGTTGGCGCTGAAGGTTGGCACACTACACTATGAACCCAGCGAACCAAGTTCGATTTTACGACCACGGCTGACATTGGTGGCGAGCGATGTCATGAACTGGTCCTGGTGCGTGCCGGCTTCACCAACCCGCATTGACCTGCATGGTGATGTATAGCTAAAGAACTCCCATGACCCAACAATGTGTGCTGGTGGGGGGACCTTTATCCAGTGTTAGATGAACAGCTGTAAACTATGAGTACCGCATGCATAATTCACACATACGAATTAATTACAATGTATGCTAATTGTATGAAAATGTAGCATTTATCCTAATCGAGCAAATGCAACTGTAGGAAATACGGGGGAGGGGGTGGGGGGCTTTAAAATACAAATGAGGATGTAAAATATTACAAAGTAACTTGATTCCAATTCCAGCTCCGAATCATCGCAATTCTAATTGTCTCGCTGGGGAGATGAATCGTTACATGCCCATTACCAAATACTTTTCAGAAACTGGTGCTGTGCAAACACAACATACAAACATGTATACAACATACAAACATGTATACTCGCAAAGATTCCCCACGTTTAGCTTTTAACAGACCGTCGGTGCAAGTGCTGATAGCGAGCGGCCACGAAGGCCGGCACAGCACACGCAAGGGAGTGGATGGCTAGCACCAGGCCGGGCAGCCTTTGTCTTCCCAGTGCAGATACTTTATACACCGCACCAGGCACTCATTCATGGCTGTGTCGACTCCGGGAGGACCCAAGACCGGTCCAAATATCGGCCACGTTCACTGCTCGCGAGCAAGAATCGAACTGGGGTCGCCGGGTTTGTAGTGCAGCGCACGCATCACTCCCACATTACCGCTCCCCTAAAATTACAAATAAAAGTTTACACATGCACGCATTTATACACATGCCATTCATACAAACATCCCCCTGATAGCCTTAACAGACTGTTGGGGAAAGTGCTGTTAACGAGGACCTATGAAGGCTGGCACGGCACACGAGGGGGTGGGTAGCCAGCAAAACCTTCCGTCGCCTTTGTCTCCACTGTGGCGATGTTAACACACTGCACCAGGTGCTCATTTAAGGCTGAATGAACCTCGGGGAGGCCCAGGACTGGTTAAGATAATCGTCGCTGCTGTTGGTCGTGAGTGGGATTCAAACTCGGGTCACCAGGTTCTCCCAAATCATACATATTCATACATGCACACATGCATCCACCCACCAACACGCACTAACGCAATCCAATATACATCGACTCGGATGCAACAAACCAGATTTATTTAAATCATGTAGCTGCGGTCATCCAATTGGACTTGAAACGCGTGTATTAAACACTCCTGTATCGTGAACATGTGTTAATAAAAAGTGAAGAGCACTCGTGGAACGCAAACGGAACAGTACCTCTAAGGGCTCCACACATTAAACACGTGAGAAAAAGCAATGAAAATATGAACAATAAATAAATGAACTGTGAATTTCACTATTTATACACCACACAAGGCCTTCTCTTGGAACTATCCTTGTAACTACTCGCCGTGGCTGCATGTCCCAGGTTACGTATGTTTGTTGAACTTCTTTCACACCGTATGTAGCCAACCGTGCTCATTGATGCTGGAAAAGGGATTCAAGTCACCATCACGTGCCATTCCGTCATGGCAATAACATCGCTCGAGCGCAGACTGAATGGCGACGCCTTTACAGGGGGAGCGCGTTTGAGCGAGGCGAGATTCGTCATTCGTTTCTAAGATATCTCAATTTAGCCGCCAGCCTACATGGAGTAAATTTTGTCCTTCAGTACATCGTCAATGGTTAGCGAGTGTAATTGTGAGTTTGGGTAATCCTTATCCAGTTGCTATTCACCGTGTTAAATTGTCAACGAGTCCTCAGTCATTCGCAAATGTGTCATCAGTTCCCGTGAGTAGTCATAAATAATTAACGCATTCATAAAATCTTGGCGGTATATTCGGTCCGGGATCAGATGCTGGCCCCGCACGATACGAGGGCCCAACGGTGCGTGGATTCGTCCCGACAGCTCCGCAACCTTTTCCTCATCCGAGGTGAAAGAGCTGCTGGGTAGCCAGCTCAACGGAACCCAACCTCAGAACTCACAGCTACCTACCCTGCGTCCCTCTCAGCACGGGGGGGGGGGGGGGGGACCAGTGGGGAATTTAAATTCCGAAAATTTCCCCACGAGCCACACCACCAAGTATACCGTCACGCCGCATTGCTCGTGGCAAGGGTTTGACAAGGGAGCGCACAGGCTGGATTTTCACCGGCCAGCTGTGAGAAGTGTGTTACGGTGGACAAGACAAAAAGCCACCAACTGCGCATATGACATTTTGAGGGTTAAGCACGTGGAGCATCAGACACCTGTTTTTTTGCCAACCAAGTGCTATGCACAGCCTCTCAAAATAATTCGAGGGGGCAGGAGTTAGCATCATGGGAGTGCGGTTCGGTGCGACGGCTCGGTGCGGGTGAAATCACAACAGGAAATTACACCATCCTGTGGTTAGGGCCAACAGACGGCTCTCCCTGGCTTTCCTGGGTGGCCATTGCCCTTGATCGGGCAGCAAAGTATGGTGCCCAGTAAACAACAGGCCACTGGCTGCACCCTTGGTAACCTATTTGTAGCCGCGGCATACGCACCTACCGACGAAGCACCTGACGACATTAAAAACCATTTCTACCGGTTCTCAGAGCAGACAATGAACCCCACAACACCTCGCCATGTGCCTTGGGAGACTTCAATGCCGTCTCTCGTACTTCCAGCGATGGCCTCCGAACCGTGATTGGCCCCCGCATGGCAGCTGCATCCCCAATGACAACTCAGAAAGGCTCATTCATTGCTGTGCAATAAAAGGGCTCAGCATAGGTGACACGTGGTTCCAGCCCCACGACATTCACAGGCATTCCACTACTTCAAATGACGGCCATGCATAAATTAACCAGATACTTACGAACTTAATTGTTAATGCAATTGACAATTTGTTATCACGTCTCTTTTAATCTTGTGAAAATCTTCGTGTGAATAACCTTGGAATGAGTTTCGATTGGTCATTAGCTATGATGATGATGATGCATAAACTGATGACAATTTGATGGATCTGTTGGGAAAATTGAAGACAGAAGAGCAAGAGCCAAACACGGATGTGGTGGTTAGGATGACATCGTGGAAAGGACACAGCTCAGGGCGGGGAACATCACGGAAACTCGTGCCAAGAGGAAGTACCCCTATCAGTTTCCGTACGCCTTTACGGTAAACTTCTTTCGCACCATACGTAGCCAACCGTACTAATCGGAGGTGCTTCGACCTCTGAACCCGACGGAGGAGGCAGAGTCCTTAGGAGTTCAGCCTGCGCTCATTCGCCTTCATGAGCGACTTGATCGCACGGGCCCTGAGCTCCAGTTCCAGTATGTCGTGGGCAGGGCCACAGCCTGGCACAGGTGTGGCCTTTCCGGCTGCAACGCCCTCGACAGAAGAGCACCTGGGAGACGAGGAGGGGGAGGACGAGGCGGGAGAGGGAGGCAGTGGGTCCGAGAGGAGGGCGTCCAGGGTCTGGTGGAGAATGGCGGGGAGGGAGTGTGGGGCTGTGGAGGAGAGGAGAGGAGGGAAGAGGGAGAGAGAGGGACATGAGAAAAGAGGTAAGGAAAGAGGAGAGAAACAGTTACGTGACAAAATACATGCAGGATTACATTAAATCACTTTTAGAATGTTTAGTGAGCAGATAATTGTCTACGCCAAGGCAAAATAAATTGTCAGATCTCGTTAAAATGATATAATTTATACATTGCATGTTATATCATACATTGTAACCATACCTAGAGATGAAAAACCCAGAAAAAAGCAGGCTTATTTTCTGCTAACACTCACCAGACACAGTTTTTTTACAACAGAAATTGTCCATAATAACCAAAAACGTAATTCTCTCCAATTAGGCACGACATGCATCTGCGCTACATATGAGCATGTCAGAAAATGTGACTGGGCCCTGCTCAATAAGACTTCAGAACCGGTCACACACGGCCTTCTGTGTGTAGCAAAGCCAGCACAGCTTTGTGGCGATTACGTGACAATGCCAACTGTTGCTGTGACGCAAGACGAGACGGTGAGACGCATTGTTGAAGGCTGTTTGCTAACCAAGCCGAGCAGTGGTTTTAGGACGATGCTGCTGCTGCGTTCTGTAAATGATGAAGCTTCTGCCTGGCTCAGCGCAAAGGCACAACGCTAAATCAAATAATTTCGGAAAATGTCACCCGCCACGCATTTGTGACGTTGTGCAGTTCGAGTTATTATGGCCGAACGTACAATAAAAAACATCTATTCTCACACATGCGATTCAATTGATGTATTGCGAAGTTAAGGAATCGATATTGGGGAATCCATGAATCGTTGGCCCGGATAATGCATAACGTAAACACAGCTAATTCTTACCAAGAGACTGGGGGAGATGTGAACTTAAGAATGACTATTACTATATAAGTTAATCATCATAAAATCAAGTGTGCATTATGCAAACATAGCAGACCGTTACCATGAGAATCGGGGAGACCTCTGCTGCCCGTGGAGCCGTGTGGAGACAAGGGAGCCCCCTTTACCCGCTGGTCTCCCTCCACCTCCTCCTCCACCTTCCTCTCATCTCCCTCCTGATCCTTTTTCCCATCGTTCTCCATCTCATCCTCAGAGAGGGATCCGGCCGCCACCAGACTCAAGGCATCGCTCTCCGCGCACGATATTGCACCATCTGCAAAAGGAGTATTGTTTTTAATGAATTCACCGAAGTGTTTCCCAGACCATCTCTTGTCTCCAACTCAACGTTAACGTTCATGAACACACCAGAATCATTTTGGGCCAGGTCAACGTAGCGTAGACCAGACTCCACGTGTCTCGACGCCATTGCTAACGAACATGAACCTCATCCGTTTAATTTCAGGCAGAGCTCACCAAGAAGTATGCCCGGACCATCTGATTCTCGTACAAATTGCAATAGCTGATGAGAACATTTGGGCCGAGTGGACTTGGGAGGAGCCCCGGTGGGGTATACCGGCTAAACTCGGTGTAGAATGAATACAGGAGTGAAGGAGTCTTGCCTGTGGCGGCGACCGGTGTGGCCTCATCGTCAGGCTCAGCACCAGGCTGGGTGCACGTGACAGAGGCTGAACTTGTGGTGTCCATGCACTGGCTGTTTTGCCTGGCTCACGTACACATATGCATATAAACACGCGCAAATAAACACGCAAATGCACACGTATTAGGCGAGTGCTCAAGATATTCGGAAGAATTTAAAAAATCTGAAAATCGGGCCAAGATCATACGTTTTCAACGATCCGACATTTACTTTTATTTCAGACCGATCCAAAAACAGAAAATGACGTGACTCATGACATCACATCTGGGATTTTCTCGCCAAAATGTTGTCACGGGGTATTGGGTAATGCATCTTTTTTTTGTTAGCACGAAGACATTTAACATGATTAGTGCGGAATGGAAGTCACTCGAAATCTGATTAAGGTAGTGGTCACCAATCCAAGCACTAATGAGGCTCAACTCTGCTTAACCCGACAGATCTGATCAGATTGGGTACATTCCTGGTAATTTGGTAATTGGCATTTAAACAAATGAATGAATACATTAGCATTTCATATTTTAAGAACAATTTTGGACATTCAGCTTAACAGGTAGGCTATCCAAAAATATCCACTTCCATCACCATTATTACCAATGGTATCCAAAATTTTGGATATTTTTCGGATTACATTCAAACATGTAAACAGCCATAAAATATCCAGCGTTGAGCCTCGGTAATGCTTGGATTGGTGATCTCTACAATCACACACAATTGGCAGTTATCGGCTGCAGCGTTGTGGACAGTGCACAAAGTCTATTGTTGCACCACACTTCTGTACAGACACGCGTAGGCTCCCCATCTCGACCAACCCGCACTGAACAGCATAGTAACGTGTGGTCAAATAATCCCCACGGCCCACGTGGCATGGGGAGGCAGTGGCCTGAAAATGGTTGTGGCAGCGGGCCTCCAAATACCCATATTGCTGGGGCATGTGCCGTTCGCGAGCATCTGTTAGAGTGTACGTAATAATGATGTCACCCTGCTGCTGCTCTATATAAGAACGGGAGACAGAGAGCAATTACCAGCGAAACAGTCGTACTCAAATTGCAATTGTTGTGGTTTCACGCTTCAACACACCGGTGGGCTAAAGCAGTGAACTTTTTGTCTTTTGTCAACGTGACACTTTTTTACTGATTGGCCGTGTCGGGTGGTGGAGGGTTACGACACATTTATAAATAACGCGATCTAAACCCAAAAACATTGATTATGAATAATATTGGTCGCGAAAGCCTACGTGTGAAACTGAGTGTACGTACGTTTAACTTCTTTCGCACCGTACAAAGCCAACCGTGCCAATCGGAGATGCGGGAGAAGGATACCCATGGAAGCTGACACGGCGCACAAGGGGATGCTGTGGCTAATCACACACCTGGTCGCATGTCTCCCCAGTGTTGATGTTCATACACACCACACTCGGTACTTATTTAAGGCCGAGTTGATCTAGGTGAGGCACACTTACCTGTTTTCACACTGTTCTGTTCCGTCCTTGGTGGTTGCCCCCATCTTATCCTCTTCTGAATCCGACCCAACTGGCTCACCTAACAGAGAAAAACAAGTTAATGTACCAACATTAAAACACTTTTTACAGAACACAAACCCAGAGAGAGAGGCTCTGTTAGGGTTCAAGGAGCCAAGCAGAGCCTTACATGTGATGCAGGGTGATGCAGGAGCCTTAAAGAGCCAGAAAAGGACTCTCTTAGGGTGCAGTGTTGATATAAGGCTCCCTTATCATGTACGCATCTCATTTGGCAAAATTAAGTTTCATTTTTAACAGGGCTGGCTCACAGAACCAGCCTAAGCCTTCCTAAGGGTTCAGTTTGAAAGTGTGAGGTTCATAGAGCCATACAAGGATTTCTTTGCGAGACTCATGGAGCCGGACTAGGTCAGCGTTACCTTGTAGGACTTGGTGGATTTGTTTGTCCGACATCAGCATCAGTTGCTCCAGACAGAGGGCCTTCACCTCCTCCAGGGTACAGGCCTGAACATCACCGTTAACATCACGATTAGCAATACTGGAGATCAATGTGATAACAATCAGCATTTGCAAAACCACCATCACTTTCATCACCATTATTACCAATGGTATCGTTAACATCACCATCATTGTCATCAACACCAGCCAACCATAGATACGGTGTTAGTATTATAAAATGATTATGATTTCTGCTACTGATGCAACTGCTGCGGCTGCCACTCAGGAAGCTATCACCACTGCTGATGCTTTCCATGCTGCTGCGAGTGATACTGCTGTTATTACAACACCAACCCCCTGATTGAATTGAATAATCTATCGTTTAATATTGCAGTAAATTGCAGCACCCATGGGTGGCTGTTGGGGTGATGTGAATCTATTACGTATCACAAAACACGAATTGACAAAACATGACTTCTTACGCAACGGATATGATGAAAGCATCATGAGCTGAAGAATTGTCATTAATCGATAATTTGATACATCCTTCCATCATTTAAAATAATGCTGTTAGTACTACAGACATTGCTGCTATTATAACAAAGATCCTGCTGATAAGACATGCTGCAACTAACGATGTTAAACACATTTCTTTATATTTTACCAAGTAAGGCCCACTGAGCTATTTTGATCTTTTTCAAAAGTGACATGGTCACAAATGATAGCCCAACGAAGTCACTTATCACGTGGAAATGTATAGCAGCCAAACACTCTAAACGCGTGTTTATAAGTGTGGAGGGAAAAATCGGAGGACCCGGAGAAAAATCCACGAGACCACGGGGGGAGAAAAACACTCCAAATATACAGCAGGTTCTCAGGATCGGGATCGAACCCATGACGTTCTATAGACCAGGCGAGGTATTAACCATCTCTCCGAGTCAGGATCGAACCCACGACATCCTGTATACCGGGTGAGGTAGTTAACGTCTCGCCCATCGTGGCGCCCCAATAAAGTTGAAATTATTTCGACTACTACTACCGATGACAAAGGTGCAGCTAATACTGCTAATGACAATGATCTTGCGGATGTCATTGGTGGTGGTGGTGCCGCTGCTGGTGCTGCTCCATCACCGAGAGTCTCGGTGGGAGGATCCTCCTCGTCTGTTTGTCCCCTACGGCTCGGAGGCTCTGCTCCAGCAGCTGGGGCCGGTCGTGAACGAGCGACGTCATCGTGGGCAGCTCCACATCGAGGTCTGTCCCACCCTCCTCCACGTACACCTCCTCCTGCTTCTCATCGTCCACCTCGTCCACCCCCTCGGTCCTTCGCGGTCGATGCAGCGGCGGCTGTGGTGGTTGTTGTGGGATGAGGCGATCGCTGTGGACTCTGACAGGGATGGGACAAGCATACGAACACGGGGAGAGGCCCTTTGTCAATCCACTGCTGGTCATAGAAGTGCAGTACAACAAAATATCTTGCTGCCCTTCCCTCTGCTGTTCACCACCGTAGGGCACTCTTATGACACCTTTTTTTTTACAAGAGTCATGTTTGCATTGACCACAATACCTGCAGTCGGAATGCAAACAAAAAACACAACTCTGATAATGTATGCACTGTCCTTGAAATTGATTGGTCCACACCCGAGACAGCTTTCTTTAGAGCCTAGTCTCACATGGTGTTGGACCAGATGACGCCAAAAGGCGTACAACTCAAAGACAATGCACCATCAGAGTATAAGAGCTCGGGGTAAGCATTTACACCATTGGAACCTCATTTGTCAGTAGCAAAATATGATAATTGTTTTTTTACCCTTTTATCTGGCAACAAAACTTGACACCTTTTTTACAAGGAGTCATGTTTTGACCAATCAACTTCAAGGACAGTGCATGCATTATCAGAGTTATGTTTTTTGTTTGCATTCCGACTGCAGGTATTGTGGTCAATGCAAACATGACTCCTTGTAAAAAAGGTGTCAGTTTTGTTGCCAGATAAAAGGGTAAAAAAACAATTATCATATTTTGCTACTGGCAAATACTATATGGGAGACCTTTCAAGCTGGTATCAACATATCATCCTGCCGACAGGATTCCTCGCGAAGGGTTTCTGGTTTGGTGTTTTTAACATCTTAACAACACTTGTTTCATTACTCTTTGGTTCTTTCGGTAAAGTCACGTAGAAAGAGAAAAGAATAAATTAAATAGCAGACGACGTTTCGATTGCAACACAAGCAATCATCATCAGGTACAAATGAAAGAGAGAAAACAAAACCTAGTAAAGTTAGAAATACAATGCGATACAACACAGAGAGTCGGCTAACACAACAGTCAACACCCTACCTGGTTGATTACGTTCTTCCAAAGATTGCTAATGTAAGAGAGAGAGAGACAAACATAGAACGTTACATTACCTCGCATTTCTGCCTCTTCGCTTTGCGTGGAGCCTTGGACGGCATTTGACGCCGCTTTTAAAAAAACAAACTAAATTAAGAACAAAAGTACCGACAATCTCGCAACTTCACGACGACGACGACAAACTTTAAGATCTTCACGCAGCTAAGATGAAACCAACAGTTTAGTAACCAACACACCGATGCTGCTCTAAGGAATTGTCACGTTTCATGTGACACACCAACCTCAACTAATTGGCTGCGTCGGGGTGGCGGGCGGGCGGTGGGGGGGTTCAACGACACATCTATAATTTGCGCAATCTAAGCCAACAACAAACAAAACCAACCTCTACCCGCGGATAATTGAAATTTTCTCGTCAAAAATCCTCTCGAATCTGCGCCCACGACGAAGTCAAAACGCTCCCGCCTCCGCCGCCGTCGCGTGCGATCTGAAACACGGCCCAGGGAGGATGAACTATCAGTCGGCGCTTGCTGCCCTCGGGGCGGATTGAGCGCCCTACGCGCGACCATTCTCGCGCGTCCACCGCCCCCAGGGCAGCAACCCGTTGCGTTGCTTCTCCGACGTAGAGAGAGGCAAGTAGATGCGAGCTCACGCGGTTCACTCGCAAAGTTCCAGGCTCACCCCAACGCCCCCCACCCCCCCCCGGAACATGAATGAATGCTTAAAGTACCGGATTATAAGACGCACACGAATCTTCTTGGTTCTTTCGGTATTCACGTGGAAGGGAAATAATAAAATAAAAACATAATAAAATAAAATTCTCACGAAGACGCTGTCTTTCCGACAGCCCTGTTCTTCACCTGAGGACGGCTGCTTGCGTTGTGGCCGAAACGTCGTGAGAATTGTATTGTTTTATTTTGTTATTTCCCTTCTACGTGACTTTACCAAAAGAACCAAGAAGATGAATCCCTGCAGTCACGAAAGCTTTAACTCGAAATTTATGCTCACGAATGTCATATATTTGGGTGGTGCTGATGTGTTGGGCAGTGGTGCACAAAGCACAGGTAACCTACCGACAGAGTTTCTGTGTAAGTTTAATACGTAGGCTTTCGCGACAAATATCCATATTAGAGGGTTTTTTTGGCTGAGATCGCGTAAATGTGGCGTTACACCCGCCATCACAAATTAGTAAGGGTTGTCACGTCAACAGAACATTCCAATTCGTTTATAGTACAGCACACCGGTGTGTTGGGAGAGCAAATCCAGATTTACAATCGGAGCACCACGTTTAGTCAGTCATTGCAACTAGCATCATCAGGCGATAGCCAGATTTGTGGAGAAACCCTCCCGTTTCGTTCTTAGGGGGATACATTTGATCTTCTTGTTTCTTTCGGTAAAGTCACGTAGAAGGGAAGTAATAAAATAATAAAAATAAAACATAATAAAACAATTCTCACGACGTTTCGGCTACAACGCAAGCAGCCGTCTTCAGGTGAAGAATGAGACACTACCAAACTAGGAGCTTATATATAAGCTGCATTGGGGGTTGAAGAGCGCCTTAACAAAAAGAATGTGCATGTGAAGAGGGATTTAGCATATTCATGGAAAATGCGTAGGCGTTGGGCGGGGGGGTGTCAAAGTCATATTATGCCCATGCATTATGCAGGATCAGCAGCAACCAAGGGGGGTGCAGGGATTAGCAGTAACAAAGGAAAGGAATGTTAATGATATGTAGCTGCAGTTACTCAACAACCACGTAGAAAACTAAAGTATAAACTACATAAAAACTAAAGTATAAACTGCATCGCACCATCAGTATACTTACTATACTCTATAATAAGCTGAGTTACTAACAGCAAGTAATACATTACAATTTTACCTCGTAAAAATTCTATAATATGCTTCCATCTAAACCTTATTCTCTTACATCACACGAGCATATACCGTACTATATACTGCCATAGATAAACCCAACATTAAATTATATACTGTATTGCTGTAAATGTATAAGATATAGGTTGGTTTACAGCAATACAGTATATAATTTAATGTTGGGTTTATCTATGGCAGTATATAGTACGGTATATGCTCGTGTGATGTAAGAGAATAAGGTTTAGATGGAAGCATATTATAGAATTTTTACGAGGTAAAATTGTAATGTATTACTTGCTGTTAGTAACTCAGCTTATTATAGAGTATAGTAAGTATACTGATGGTGCGATGCAGTTTATACTTTAGTTTTTATGTAGTTTATACTTTAGTTTTCTACGTGGTTGTTGAGTAACTGCAGCTACATATCATTAACATTCCTTTCCTTTGTTACTGCTAATCCCTGCACCCCCCTTGGTTGCTGCTGATCCTGCATAATGCATGGGCATAATATGACTTTGACACCCCCCCGCCCAACGCCTACGCATTTTCCATGAATATGCTAAATCCCTCTTCACATGCACATTCTTTTTGTTAAGGCGCTCTTCAACCCCCAATGCAGCTTATATATAAGCTCCTAGTTTGGTAGTGTCTCATTCTTCACCTGAAGACGGCTGCTTGCGTTGTAGCCGAAACGTCGTGAGAATTGTTTTATTATGTTTTATTTTTATTATTTTATTACTTCCCTTCTACGTGACTTTACCGAAAGAAACAAGAAGATGAATCCCTGCAGTCACGAAAGCTTTAAATCGAGATACATTTGATGTAGTCATTTGTGAGCCCTTCAAGTGCGAAGGCCGGGGAGAGGGGGTAAGAAAACCCTCTATTGAGTCGTAACAATTCACCACACCAAGCAATTGGTAGGTTTGTAATTCAGGGTGCCGATTCAGGAATTCATTATTTGTAACATTGTGGTGAATGTTCACGTGAACCCACAACACTGGAAAAGATACATTCTTGCGCAAGGAATTTGATGTATGAAATGAGATAATCTACTGTATATTCATGAAGGTACCGATACATCATTACACCTATAGAAAGTTACACTTGTGTATTTTGATGGCGTTTGCTCAACAAGTGATGCTATCAGGCGAGTGATTTTATATGATTGAGTGGCATATGAAGTGGAATTGAATGCAACACGGGTGTTTTAGTGGAGGACAAGAATTCTGGATGTGGTTTGGACGGGAAAGAATTCTGCATAGGTTGACAAGGTTCTGTATTGAATGAAAGCAGTATTCTGCATTAAAAAAATAATACCGTATTGGACAAGACCAGGATTTTTGTTGTACTTTTTATTAATATAACCAGACACTTTAGGTTAAAGTTAGGACAGCTAATGCCATTGGCACAATCACACCTTCCTATCACTTCCTTCTGCCAGTTCCTGCAGCTGTTGCAGTCGGCGCCCGACCTCCAAGGACAGTTTTGTCTCAACATCACCATCGTCTGTCTGCCTTGAGGTCTTCTCCTTGTTTTAGTCCGTACATCTTTCAAGGACCCCTCATACAATATCATCACTGCCACTATCTTGTTTGAAGTCTTCCCCTTGGTCACTGAACTCTGGGTATCGGTAGAGTGCCCTCCTGTATCATGTACACTTGTCTTCTAATTACATCTACAAGGATTTTACGCCACTCTAGAATCTGAACCTCCACACTGTCCACTCTTATCCTTCTATGGAATTAATAGCATATATTTGGACCTGTATGCAAAGGTCTGAAGCATCAATTTTAATTGCTTGTGTAAAGTCCAACTCACCAATAATGTAGGGCAGACATTACAGAAACATTATTCATACACGAATCGTTATTTTATTTAAGCTACCCAAAAAGTCAACAGCATATTTCTTTCCAACATGCACATAGGCTATGTGTCCAAAGCTGTCAGATACAAATGTGAAGCTTCAATATTGAAGAAAAATACTATGAATTGACTCTTTAGGACAGCCCAAGTGATCTGACCATGACGTAACGAGCAAAGTCACAGCAAGGACATCTCTTGAGTGCATCCATATAAAAACAATTTCACTAACATTCAAATTTATGTAGGGCAGCCCAGGGAAACAACCTCGGTTGGTAGCTTCTAGAAGTCATATTTTTTGGGTTGGATCTATAACCAGGAAAGCCCCTCCAGTCTCACAAAGCCACTTTGAACAAGTGTCCATATTTGGAACATTTGGCCACATCTTAAGCAATTTTTGACATTTTTTATTTAGCTCTCGAGTGGGGAAAACATTGGATTGCCTAAAGAAAGCCCACCCACCACATATTAGAGGTAACAATAAACTCAAAAATCTCCACCATTAAGCCAGGATAATGCCTGCGGTACTGCTTTTTGAAGGAACATGAGGAGCATTATTATTTTGTCCAGCTGACTTTAGGAATGTCGTAATGTTCAGTCAGTGTGTCGAGGTGGCGGTTGAATTCCTGTAGACAGAAACAGAGATCAACATCAGATGCAGCTTCATAGAAGTAGCAGCAACACCATCATTAGCAGCAACTTCAACATAAGCATCATTAGCTTCAAAGGCAATCGTCACATTTGTAGCATTAGCAGCAGCGGCTTCAATATCATCGCTTCCATCACCAGCAGCATTATCGATCAATTACTATCAGGATTGTCACTACTTCTTCCACATAATATGGAATCTTAACTGCAAGAGATGGTGGGTAATTTCCACAATGACATTGCAAGATGCTCACCTCTACACGCTGCTTGTGTGTCTTGGATGCCTTCTGCAGCACTCGCTCCATTTGCTGAGTAAGCACAAAAACACATATAAATAAATACACTTGAACATATATAACGTGTACTAGCATTAATACAATATATATATATATGCATAAGCTACATATACAAAGTTCTAAAAGCCAAGCACATCACCTCCCAAAAAATTGTGACATTATAGCTGATATCAACCAATCAAAGGCTGCTACAAAAAACAAAGATTCTTCATATATCCTTAACAGACAGTTTGGGAAATGCTGTTAGCACCGAAGTCTGCTACCATACATATAAGCACGCACATCAACATATATCATCATCAGCCATGGTAATTTTACTGATAGATTAAGGCCATCACAAGCTGCAACTATGTCAAGTACATGTGATGTAATAATAAACCTACATCTCGTTGGTTGACGTCCTCTCTGACGCATACCACCCCTTGGCTGGTGCGAGCGTTAGTGCAACAGCTATATAGTGGCAGTACTTGCATCAGGGCCTAGTGTCATTGGTAGTGTCAGAGCTAGTGGTACTACGTGTTAATGATAGTGTCAGTGATTGCATCATGGCTATCACCAGGACCAGTGTCAGTTAACTGTTTAGGGTAATCCTACCCTCTTCTCCTGCATCTTGTCGAACGCCTTCTGAGCGGGAGTCCTCGTGTCTATATGTCCCCGCGGTGTCTCCCTCTCGTCCTCGTTATCTCTGCCTCCCTGGGCGCTGCTCACGCCGGTCTCCATCACTTTCCTCGCATCTCCTGAACGCTTGCGCTTCCTGTGAAACATGAGAAGATGCAGGAAGTGACAAAAATTAATAAACAGACGCAAGGGAAACCACAAGGGTGAGGGGGATTGGCGAAAAAATAGGTTATGGAGAGCCAGGAAGACGTAGATGAGACACTGGGTAGTGGGTGGAGGGCAGAAATGAATACAAATACACACGCGGAGAGAATAGGTGGAGTACAGGGAGACATGGTGGAAACCCACAGGGCAACGTGAAGACAGGGAGACTCACAGGGATACGGACATGAAGAAATACAATAACATGCATCTATAGACATGGACAAAATCTCCAGGCAGAGGCGCACAGACACAAAAAGACAACACAGGCACGATATACATATACACACAGGGAACTAAATAGTCCAAATAAATAAGGCACAGACATTAAACACACTGAGTCACAGATTAAATACTAACACACAAAGGCAGTGCAGCACATACACACACACCGATATAAACAAAAACACAAACAAGGATAAAAGACACGTTTACTGATACATCGATAGACATTGAGAGCATCAAATACGTACAGACACGGGCAGATATATATAAACACACGAGCCGACAAAGAAAAATGTAGACTAGGACACAAGCATAAACACGCACACAATGACAAGAAGAATCAGACATTAGATACAGAGACACGCCGAGACGATCCACACACAGGGTCAGAGATAAACACACAGGACCAGAAGATACAAACAGACTTAAAGACAAACATCACGTAATACAACTCCGTGACAATTCACCAAATAAGCAGTATAAGATTAATCATAAAGAGTTCATGCATAATTAGACCCATCTATAAAAACGTTTCCCGATAGCGCAATCGTGTACCGGCCTCGCCTGGCCTCGCCGTACCACTGAGGGAGGGGGTTGCTCGGTAGCTCCGCCAAGCAACACCGTAGGCTTCATAGGCCTCAACTAGGCCCGAGTACAATAACGATCCAAATATGGACCAATAAAGCGCGACACAAATATGCGGACATTTAAAGAGCAACATCGTGAAAACGTCGACGCTACACAACGAGCGCTTACTTTTTGACTCCCAGTTCCTTCACTCCCTTCAACTTGAGCGATCCCTTCTGAACGCTTTCGTAGTCGGCCATCGTTTAGTGCGAGACGAGCCCAGCGACGAACGAGACACGGAGACTCGGGGCGCCTACGTCACGGCGCCTCCTCCTATTGGCTGGAGGCGAACACGGCCAGACAAAAGGCACCCGGATAGCCTCAAATAGGGCGGTTAAGGGGCAAGTGCAGCCGCCCCCATATCAAGAATCTAAATGCAGGTGTACCTCGGTTAACGAAATTAATCGGTTCCAGGAAAATCATCGTTGATGGAAATTACCGTTGATCGAAAATAAAAAGACATCATGGGACCTCCTTTGACAGTAATCAAAATATGAGGATAGGTTTTCCCTTTTTATCTTGATTCCTTGTAAAATGTTTCAGTTTGGTGTTTTAACAACCTATTTTCATAGGAAATACATGTTAAAAGGCTTAATTTGTTCCGAGGCGATCGAAAGTTGACCCTTTTCACCATAAAAAACGTAGCCTCTAATATTTGAACACGATATTTTAATCAATAGACGTTATGAGAACATATTCAAGATTTAACATTCATATAAACACGGATAAATAATGAATCAATAAAGCATACAATTTTGCATAAATAGAGCATAAAATAAAAACAAATTTCTTACCTTAGTTTAAGAAGATGGGTGGCTTAACGAATTGATGGAGAAGTTGGGGTGGGAGAAAATTTATAGTGATTGATCTTCTTTAACTTTTTAGAAAAAAAACCCCCACTAAGTATTCAAGGGAGCTGTTTCCAGAAGCAACGCACCATCAATCACTGATGAGGAGCTCGCAGTCAGCAGCTCTCAAAACGCCTGTGTAAGGAGCATCGCTGATTGGCTGTAGGCCGCCGAGTCTCCACTTAGGAGCGCCCCGATTGGCTGAAATTGGCGACCGGGTCAATATCGTCAGACACATTTGTTAATCGAACATTTTTCGTTTATAGAAACAATCGGACCCTATGGGAGGCGGATCGTTAATTCAAATATCGTTAATCGATGGCATCGTAGAACGAGCGACCACTGTGTGTATACTGGAGGAATCCGATGAGCTATAAAGCTTTTTTTTCACAGATGTCCAGTAGGGGGGCCGGTCAGAACGTTACAACAACAAATAAAAAAAAAACACGATAAGAGTGCAAAGTATAGGAAGGTAACCAATCACTTAAATATATATGTACAAGCTAAACTATTTACAAATGTATACAAACACAACTAAACTATGTACACATGCAATTTGAATTTAGATACGTTATTTATTAAAGGGGCGCCACTTTGCTGTTGTGATGTTAACTTTCTCGCCTGGTTACAGGAGGTCGTTCGAGATTCGATCCCCATCCTGACGCTTGCTGCTGAATATTTGGGAGTTTGCCGTGTCTCTCTCCCCGTGGTCCGGGTCCTCCGGTTTTCCCCTTCACATTAAGAAACATTTCGATTTATGAGTGTGCTAATCCTACATAATGCACGGGTATAATATGACTTTGAGACCCCCCCCCTCCTACGCATTCCACAAGTAGTGACTAATCCCATATCTGCATTTTCCATAAATATGCTAAATTCATCTGCTGATATGCAAATTCCATTGTCAAGGCGCTCTTCCTCCCCTAACCCAGCTTAAATATACGCTGCCAAGCTTGGTGGTGTTCATTCAGACGCTGTCTTTCCGACAGACCTGTTCTTCACCTGAGGACGGCTGCTTGCGTTGTGGCCGAAACGTCGTGAGAAGTGTATTCTTTTCTTATTTTCTTATTTTTCTTATCTTATTATCTCCCTTCTACGTGACTTTACCGAAAGAACCAAGAAGATTAAAAAAACATGTATTCGATTATATTTAGAGATTTCGCTGCTCTAAATTTCCACGTGATAAGCCACTTCGTTGCGCTATTGTTTGTGGCCAGGTCGTCGCTTCTGCTAAAAAGCCGTGTGACTCAGTGGGCCTCACCTGGGTGTAACACAACAATAGTTCGGAGTTCCTGTGGTAAGGAACGCCGTGCCAGAAGATTGCCTCTGCGCAGCTTCACGAACAGCAGAGGGCGACTCGTGATCGCGAGCCGCAGCCTACGTGGTCTGTGCCCAATGGGGTCGTCCATAAATGACGTCACGCGATTTTGGACGATTTTGAACCCCCCCTCGTCACACGGCTTCACAAATAGTCAGACCCCCCCTAAAATATGACGTCACAAAGCTCTGCCCCCCCCCAAATCATATTTCTATTTTGAAAATAAAACATGCTTCAAATCGCTTTAAACTATTGTCATTGTAGTGCGTATTTAATGTGGCGCTGCACTCTGATGTTGTAGGAGAAAACATTTATTAAAAAGTATATTTAATTAAGTAGAACGTGTTGTCTATATTTATTTAAAGTTGCGCATTTTGATTTGACGTCACATTTCTCACCCCCCCCCCCCTCGTCACACATCGTCACAAATGTCTGACCCCCCCTCCCCAGATGCGTGACGTCATTTATGGACGGCCCCGTAGATTTGGCCTCAAATGAGTACCTGTATCGGTAGTATGCGTGTCCTCGCCGAGGTCGACGCAGGCTTAGTTGAGTACCTGGTGCGGTGTGTAAACATCAGCCCTGGGGAGATAAAGGCGGCCGGGCGTGGTGCTGGTCACCCCCCCCCCCTCGTCTGCTATGCTGACCTTAATAGGTGCTGGCCAACAGCATTTGCCCCAACAGTCTGTGTCGGCTAAAACGGCGAAATATCTATGTATGAGTGTGTGGGCGAATTTAACATGGCTTTACCGTGGCAGGCAGGATAGATCGACATTTCGGGCGACTGGCCGTCTTCAGGACAGAAAGAGTTCGACACACACACAGAGAGATAGTATTACAGATACTGTAGAGGACCGGTGGGGTTTGGGTGATGGTGAGAGATGTCAGAAAGAGTTAGATTGAGTGGTAATGACTGGCTCCCGCAAGTGCAATGAGTCCTCGCTGCATCCTAATGAGTTATCAGAGTGTGCCGAAATGCATGTAGGAGGTCGAACAGTTGCCCAAATCAGTTTCAAGACAAATACAAAGATCCCCCGTATAACCTCTAACAGACTGTTGGGGCAAGGGCTGTTAGCAAGCACCTATAAAAGCCGGCACGATACACGAGGGGGTGGGTGGCCAGCACGACGCCCGACCGCCTTTGTCTCTGCAGTGGCGATGTTTTGCAAAAACGCACCAGGTACTCATTTGAGGCTGAGTCGACCCAGGGGAGGCCCAGGACCGGTTCAGATAGCCGTCACTGGTGTTGGTCGTGAGCGGGAATCGAAGCCACCAGGTGCTTAGCGTAGCACGTTAATCGATACACTGTCGCTCCCCATACGGAGACACCACACACACACAAACATGTAAAACAATAACTCGGCCTTTGGTGCATTTATACAAAAAACATTAGCAGTCGCTGAACAACTTCATCACATGTTGCCCTCTTGTCATAGAGGTCGAGATCTAAACAGACACAATGTGGCTAAACGGACAGCAGCAGCAGCAGCAGTGAGAGGCAGAGATTCCGGCCTGCATTCGTTGACGGATTTGATAAAATGTGAGCATCAGGGTGCACCGCTGGTGCGCTGGTCAGCGAACTGAGGCCAGCCACCCGCTGGGTGGCGTATGATCAAACACCCCCAGTGACAGATAAGGCACGAGGAGGATTTCGTCCAGCAGCGTATTCTCTTCTCAAGCCTGTTATTGTTTGAATGGATAGGCCTGTTAATGTAGTGATGCTTTTTTTTCAACAAATATTAAGCCAAAAACAACTCGATTCGGTTGAATAAAACAGCTTAAGTGCAGGACTGAAGTTAGTTGAATACGTCGGCTTTCGCGAGCAATATCATCCATAATACAGGTGTTTTGGTTAAGATCGCGTGAATATAAATGTGTCGTTAAACCCGCCACCACCCGACACGGCCAATTATCGAGGTTTTGTCGCGTAAACAAAACATGCCAATTGGTTACTAATACAGCACACCGGTGTGTTGGGGAGCAAATCCACATGTACAATCTGTGTACGACATTTCGCCAGTAATTGCAACTCGCATCATCAGGCGGACAGCCAGATGAGTAGTGCAGTTCTCTGCATAGAGGTGGAACTTATGCTGAGCGCGTGAGTGCGTGTCACCCAACAGCGTGGTGGTGGGGCGGTGGCGCAGTGGTTAGCTCACTTCGCTACGAACCCGAGTTCGATTCCCACTCACAGCCAACATCAGTGGCGAATATCTGAACCGCTCCTGGGTTCTTTCCGAGGTCGACTCAGCCTAAAATGAGTACCTGGGGCAGTGGCAAAAAATCAGGACTGGGGCGACAAAGGCGGCCGGGCGTGATGCTGGCCACCCACCCCTTTCGTGTACCGTGTTGGCCTTTAATAGATGCTCGCTAACAACACTTTTCCCGACAGTCTTGTAAGGCTATATGGGGGATCTTTGTCTTTACTCCATGAGATGTATTTCTGACACAGCAAGGGTTAATATCGCATCTTCTTGGTTGGCTTGGAGTCGGGATTATCGGCATTAGGTACTACCACTAAGAGCGTGATTGAAGCCTATTCGTAATACTAATGATATATTACGCTATTTTTATCGTAATATCATACAATTGTAATATAATACTAAAATTATTGTAAGTTAATAATATTATTACTACTATAGTATATTCATATAATCCTATTAATTATTTAAAACCAACACTCGATAGCAAGATGCGATATGGATGTGACGTGGTCAAAATAATTCCCGATTTTGCGTTGAAATGAATCGCTCACTGATCGCGAGTGTTATCATCGATTTTTGGAATATGATCATACTCGATTAATCAATGCTAGGTCCTGTAGCTGTGGAGAGAGCACTGCGAGAGTAAAAGCCTGCAGGGTTCGGTGCGTGCGCGCGCGTGTGTGTTGTGTGTGTAACTCGGCTCCCCCACTCCCCTCTCCCCCACCAATCTCCCCGCTCTCTCTCTCTCTATAATGAATGACTTGTTTTCATTCCATCCTCATTAAACTCTCATTACCACCGCCGCGATCCCCAAAATCTGGAATTAGAGTCTCTCTCTCTCTGTTCACGCGCGCGCGCGCCTTAAACACGCGCGCGCACGCACGCGCACGCGGGTGCA